GCGAATGTCTGGTCTCCCCTAGATCCGTATCAGGCATTTTTAGTACATCGTTTAGCTTTTGGACTGTATGAAGCTTCACGTTTAACATTCACAGCACTGCAGAATGTGTCATAATCACATCTCAAGGCTATCCACAGTCCCTATTTTATGGCCATGCCCTCGCTCATGCCGATTGCTGCCCAGACGACTTTCGAATGATGGTGGTTGTGGGCGATGTTGCCGGTTGACTGATTTATGTATCGAGCGCGGATTATATGAATATTTATAGTTAAGTAGGTAGGTGTATAGATGAGGTCGACCAGTGCTTTCGTCGCTGCGTATGGTTGTTTGCAAGCATTATTTGTATGAAATTAGACAAGTGTTGAAGCCAGCGGATGAACTTCATTAATCAAGGATTTGTGTTTAATGGCAAACATACCGACACGCCACAACGGGACAGAAGGAAACAGCATCTTTGCCGCGTTAACCGGCCTTGAGGCGGGCTCGGGCCGGCGGCGAGTGAGCGTGACCGATCACCAGACAGGCTCGGGCCGGCGGCGAGTGAGCGTGACCGGTCACGAGGTCGGCTCGGGCCGGCGGCGAGTGAGCGTGACCGGTCACGAGGTCGGCTCGGGCCGGCGGCGAGTGAGCGTGACCGATCACCAGACAGGCTCGGGCCGGCGGCGAGTGAGCATGACCGGTCAGGAGATCGGCTCGGGCCGGCGGCGAGTGAGCGTGACCGATCACCAGACAGGCTCGGGCCGGCGGCGAGTGAGCGTGACCGGTCACGGGGTCGGCTCGGGCCGGCGGCGAGTGAGTGTGACCGGTCGTGAGGTCGGCTCGGACCGGCGGCGAATGAGTGTGACCGACCACCAGACATGATCACCGGTCATGAGGTCGGCTCGGGCCGGCGGCGAGTGAGTGTGACCGACCACCAGACATGATCACCGGTCATGAGGTCGGCTCGGGCCGGCGGCGAGTGAGCGTGACCGGTCACGAGGTCGGTTCGGGCCGGCGGCGAGTGAATGTGACCGACCACCAGACATGATCACCGGTCATGAGGTCGGCTCGGGCCGGCGGCGAGTGAGCGTGACCGGTCGGTCGTGCGCCGGCAGTGTGGCCATCCTGCGCTTCCTGTGCCGGGAGTATCCGGTGGCGGACCATTGGTACCCGAAGGACTCGCAGGCCCAGGCCCGCGTTGACGAGTACCTCGAGTGGCAGCACGCCAACACCCGGCTCCAGTGCGCCATGTACTTCCAGACCAAGGTCGGTGCGGTGATGCTGGGTGTGCAGTTGTGCTGGGCCGCGCTGGGAACGCGGGACGTGACCAGATACGTACCCTGTGAATATGCAGAAGAAATTGATGTGCTGGCTGCTCTATCACTGTGGTCTTTAAGCTAGAATGAGTTTGCTCCCGTCATGGCTCCCTTTAATTTTTTGTTGTTGCGTAGCTCAGTGAAATACCTGCGCATAAACGTAGTGTCTAAATCATTGTTCTTTTTTTCCGGCCTGCCTGGGTCAGACTGGCTTAAAATGCAAGTGCTGCTGCAATACTTAATTATTTGCACGACGTCTAGGCCTTGCCATGATGTACCTGCTACAAGCTTTGGATGATCATCTGTCCGTTCGCGTCACTGTCCGCCGTCTCCGCCGGCAGTGGCTGATCCCGATGATGACGGGTGAGCCGGTCAACGAGAAGCGTATGAAGAACTTTCAGGCGGGCATGGAGCGGGTGTTGGACCAGCTTGAGACGGTGTGGCTGAAGGAGACGCCGTACATTGCCGGCCAGACCATCACGGTGGCGGATGTTCTGGCGGCCTGCGAACTGGAGCAGCCCAGTGAGTCCTGTCGTGACTAGCTGTGGCGCTGGTGAATTGTAGCCGTTTAAGTATTTTCGTACCCGAATGGTACGTTGCTCATGTTCGGTCGGTTGTGTTGCACTGTGGTCTTATTTGGACCAGGATTATCCTCCATTGCTATGTGTTGAATGTGTCTAGTGGAACCCGTGTGAACCCGTCCTACGCGAAAATAACGCAAGGCTTAACTGCCTGCGCTGCGTTTCGTTCAGTAAACGAGCACGGGAAGAATGGCTCACGGAACTTTGTCATATCGGGTGTCCTTTGGCTACGATAACGGAGACATAAGTAGTGCCTTGATCGGCGACTTACGTCCGATGAACTCTGTCTGTTGCTCTCCCACCGTACGTCATCTGCCACCCGGCCGCCAGTCCTCTACCTCCGCACATGCCGCTCCCTGCTCAGAGCAGTTTCCAAGGCGGCAGGTTCCTAACCGGCCCCTTCCCAGTGCGACAAGATGCCGGCCTCTCATCGCTGCCATGTGGGAACGTGACACCGAGCCAGCTGTCTGTCCATTCGAAATGGCACCAAATAACCCTTTACTTTTGTTATTGCGAGTCATCCCCAAATGTGACCAATCTCCGTTCGTGTGCGCAACAGTACCGCCGTGCTGGGGCCTGGCACCAGGTCGGCAGTCGTCCAGGCGGCGCCGTGCTTGTGCGACCGCGTGGTTTCGCAACGCAGGTGCTCCCCACCAGCGTTACTTAAGGGGATTTCTCAGAGTAGCGCGGCGTGATGTGAGGCTGATCCCCACCTCCCCACGCACCGTCACTGACGTCAGACTCAGCAGTGAAGCCGTCCTGTCGTCACGTCAGTCGGTGAGGAGACCGCCTATGTCATCAGTGGCCCGTCACTGACGTCAGACTTGTCTCTGGCCGGCCCCCTCTCGGTGACCTCATGTCTTGTGCAGCGAGAGTGCTCCCATCAATGTGACGCCGAGCCGGTAGCGGTTGACCGTCCGCGGGAGCGGTGACAGCCCCCGGGAGCGTTTCACCGCCTGCGGGAGCGGTGACGGCCCCCGGGAGAGGTTGACCGTCCGCGGGAGCGGTGACCGCCCGCGGGAGCGGTGACGGCCCCCGGGAGCGGTTGACCGCCCGCGGGAGCGGTGACGGCCCCCGGGAGCGGTGACGGCCCGCGGGAGCGGTGACGGCCCCCGGGAGCGGTGACCGCCCGCGGGAGCGGTGACGGCCCCCGGGAGCGGTGACGGCCCGCGGGAGCGGTGACCGTCCGCGGGAGCGGTGACGGCCCCCGGGAGCGGTGACGGCCCCCGGGAGCGGTGACGGCCCCCGGGAGCGGTGACGGCCTGCGGGAGCGGTGACCGTCCGGGGGAGCGGTGACGGCCCCCGGGAGCGGTTGACCGCCCCCGGGAGCGGTGACCGCCTGCGGGAGCGGTTGACCACCCGCGGGAGCGGTGACCGCCCGCGGGAGCGGTGACCGCCCGCGGGAGCGGTGACCGCCCGCGGGAGCGGTGACCGTCCGCGGGAGCGGTGACCGTCCGCGGGAGCGGTGACCGTCCGCGCCGCTGTTGCAGCGATGGTGGCGTATGACGTGACGGCCGGCCGGCCGCGGCTGGCTGCCTGGCTGGAGCGTGTGCGCACCGACTGCCAGCCCCACTACGAGCAGGTGCACACCATGTGCCGCAGGATCCGAGACAAGTTCGGCGGCGCCACCGAGGCCAAGCTGTAACGGGCAGGCGCCGGTCGGCCGTGCGAGGGCTGCCAGGCCCGCATCGGACGTGCGTGTGGCGTTGTGCCGTAGTGCGGCCGTACCGGGGAGATGACGGTTGCAATGTAGTGGGTTTGGGGCGGACGCCGGTAATGATGGCCGAGAGAGATTGGCTTAGAATATGACTTTAAGATAGGGCGTGTTTTTAGAAGCTACTTGACGCAGTTGACTGTAATGCTGTATGACGTGCAGTCTTATCTCACCGCATTGTATGCCAGAATTGGGAAGTGTGCATCCATGAATTAGGTAAATGTCGAGATGGGCATGCAGCCTGCACTCTGATATTCCGGCTCAGGCACGGTCGTGCGTACTGATTAACTGCCTTCCAATGTCAGATGCGCGTGTTAAATTGTATGTAATTTCTGGTGCTGCGCAGATAACGCGGTCAATACATGTGTTTTGTGTGGGCAAATATGTGTTCTGGTCGTGTTGCACTCCGCGAGCGTGCAAATCGTTCATCAGCCAGCCAATGTGTCAGCCAGCTCGCACTCTTTGTCTATTGATTTGATCGCAGCTGCCCGTTCGCGAGAGTCCGGTTGTGCTCAAATGTCCGAGGGACATGCGTTCAGACTGCAGTCTGCGCAAGGTGCGTGGGCCTCGCCGCTGTTCGAAACCTTAGTTTTGGCGTGGAAAGGCTCGGATGGCAGTGAAACCAGTGTTCTCATTACACATGGTTTGTGGTCTGCATACAGATTGCACCACTCAATGGGGCTATTGTAACACCAGGGAATAATTTTGCACCAGTGTGTTAATAAAAGTGTATCTTGGTTCTCCAACATGTGTTAAGGCCATGGTACAGCTGTCCGTGGTAAAGTGGAAACCTTACTAGGCGTTTAGAGGGGACGCCTGTGTCGTAAGTCGCGCCCACGTAGCTACATGCCTCGCTTCACAGCGTCTGCCATTCGCTGTGAAGGGACGCGGGCCTTACCGCTGCACGAAACAACTGACAGAGCATGTAATGTCTACGGTGTGGTATCAAAGATCCGGCAGCTTTTTGTTACAATTTCAGTGCCACAACTGCAACAATAATAGTGTCTCGGAATGGTGTGCTCTCAAGCGTGACGTGATAGGCCAAGCTGTCGGTCACGACCACCAGCTGAAGAAACGGAATTGTGTTTCCCTTCTGGCAGAGACGCTCGACGTTCTCTGGACTTCGGCATTATTGTTCCGGTGGTTGGCTTCGAACCAGCGCATCACCCAGGCATCGTGATTTGTCGTCAGCTTTATAGTTGAGGTGAGCGGAGTAATTAAACTTAAGTAGCTAATGAGTTCGGCAACGCGGGCTCGATCACAACAAGCGTTAACTTGACTTCATTTAGCGGTGGGTGCGGATCTCGCTTTCGTGCGTTAGCTGGCTCCGTTTGGCTGACATTAAGCGTGGCTGTGATCTCAGAGACACCCATGGACGTCGAAATCGTAGTTTGCATTAAGAAGACAGCGTGTATTTCACGAATATGTATTTCATGCGCCGTTTGGCTTCGCAGATTCACAGTCCGGAGCAGACGACATCTATACTGCAATTATTCTACAAATACTGCCACCTAGCGACGGACTTGTAACACTCGTGCCTCCGCGATCGGCGTAATGCTACGAGACACGTTCTCTCTATGCGGCGGTCACTGAGTGAACCGACAGCTCTACACAAAATGAAGACGACTAATAGCATTTGTCGGGCGGAAACATGGACGATTGCTTCTTGACGATGATGCCGGTTACGCTGCAATGGATCATGAGACTTCGCGGCTGTGAAGTGCAGTGCAGGACAGCGGTAGAGGATACAGTAATTTGTCAGCGCAGCAGACGGTGCACACGCGACCAGGCACCAGGCGGCGATGTGAGACTCTTTGGTTGTGAGGTACAGTGAAGTGATCAATTTCCAGGTCCAGTGCCGGTCGGATTCTCGCGCGCGAGTTTGATTTCTCAGTGATTCACGACTAACACGATATGGCGTTTTCACGTTTCACTGCAGGCCGGCGGGACGGCGGACGGGTCTGGCGCTCGTTGGCAGCGTCCGGCGCCGCCCGGCGCGTCCTGGCGGCGGCGGCGCCCCCCGGCCGGGCGGGCCGCACCGCCGGCGGGGCCCGTAACAACTCAGTATCAACAAGAGCGCGGCGGCGGCCGCCTGCCGGCCCACGCCCGCGTGGGTCCGGAGACAGTTTGGCCCGGAGGCGAGGCGGCCGACGTTACCCGCTGAACGCCCCGGAGTTGGAACACAGGCGTTTGTGCGTGGCGCAGCAGTTGCGCTGCACGTACTTGCGGGAGCAGTAGCGGTAGCCGTACCGCTGGATGAACTGCTTGCAGGAGAGATGGCCCACCAGCCGATTGACGCGATCCACGCACTGTCCGCTGCTCCCATCTGCAACGCGATCCACGACCGTCAAAAATCTCCGTCATCGGGTGGGAACAAAGGAAAAACACTGGGCTTCAAACTAGACATATTTTCAGCGCTCGTGTTCAGCAGAATGGGGTCAAAGCATTTGCTGTTGATGATCTTGTAACAAAGTTTGCACGACATAACCAATGCCTACATATCCTGCATGCACGCTACCCATAAGAATAACGGAATCATCTAGAAAGTGAAATCACGTAGAAATCAGGGCCAGAGCTCACGTGCCAAGCCCGAGTTCCACTGACGAAAACGGCTCAAGATACTAAATTCCTCAATAAAAAGGCATTGAAAGCATTCTACCGGCGGCGTCTTGAAATCAACCGCTGCCCAGTCCGCATACTAATGACAACCGGGGTGCATTGAGCAACCTCGGGTTTTGCTCCTCTAAGTATCCACGCCCCTCCCCCATCCCACATACAGACCCTTCCCTCACACGCTGTCAGTGATTTCGTAACACATCTCACGCACGGCTTGGCGGACATCATGACACGCACAACCCCAGGAGCCGGATGTGTGTCGTCGCCGCAGCCTCTCCGAGTGTCAGGGTCATGAGCGGTGCCTCCTGTCGGTCTGTGGTGGGGCTCAGACGGCCAGTGCCCGGGTATGCTGCGGTTACACAGGTCGCGCCAGGCTTGCGAGGAGGCTCAGGACGTATCACGCTCGTCACTCAGCAACGTGGCGTGGGAAGCGGCCGGTGCTGTTCCGGTGTTGGAAACGTCGTGGAACGCCAGCTGCTGGGCAGGATCGGACGAAATGGTTCAAAGGGCGCAGCGCAGCCCTCTCCCTCCTCCCCCGTCCTCGCCGTAATGAAGTGTTCTTCGCCGCTCGCTTTCTCGCAAGGGGGGGGGGGGGCGATGGGCACAGGTCTGCCGCAGTGGCGCGGGCCCACCGGCGCTGCGCCGGCCTCCCGGCCCAGCCTGTCACCACCAGCCGCCGGGAGCTGCTAATCCGGACTGGTGCCGGCACCGGCCGGTCCCTGGCTCCGAGCGTCATCCTGGGCCCGCCGGATTGCCGGCTCCCGATGACGACGCTGGTGTCGGAATGTGCGGCCTCCCACCGGAGCATGGCACGGCCGGCCACATGCGTGCGAATAATGTTGGATGTGAAGTGATAGCTTGCATCGTAACGGAATAAGTATTAAAGGTACGTCAGGTTCATCTTGTTTTGATGACGTTCGGGATGTTGTGTGGAACATCATCTACACAGACAAAATTTGCCAACCATACCAGTCATTGACAATTTGCCAACGCCTCAGACGCTCAGTGACAATTTCCTTGTTACGCGCGTTTCACTGCTCACGACAGCCTATCTGCACCACACCGGCGATGCCGTGTTCCAGGCCCAGCTGATGACAGCGCCAAGGCTGGCGGTCAGTAGTACTCGCGCGGTGACCGCCCTTTGCGGTGTCGTGCAGGGTGCGGCATTGGCCGTCGCCTTATTTGGCTGCCACAGTGGGCCGGTGGATAAGCCGTCGGACAGGCGGCTGCCGCGTGCCACCGGACGGCAGAGGAGGTGGAGGGGAGGGGGAGGGGGGCAGCCGCGCCAGGGACGCCGCAGGTCACAGGGAACACCACGCCGGGCCAAAGTCGGCGTCCCCGGCCGCGCATGTAAAGGGTGGCCGGCCAGCTCTGCGCGTCCGGCAGCGAGGCACGGCAGCGTTCGCCGGCACCGTCCGACCGCCGCCGGCCGCTGGCCTTCGGATACCGGTTCCGACCATTCATTAAATTAACCACACCACCGCATTTACTGCCGCCGACTCTGAGCAGCGGCTGCGACATGTAAATGCGCGGGAGGGTCGGGCTGTGCCGCCGCCGCGAGAGGACTGGCGAGGCGGTAACTGCCGGCTGGGCGTCGGCGGCAGTCCCCGGCGGCCGGCGGCGGCCCTGACAGCCGGAAGTGTTACTGACCTTTGGAAGAGCTCTTGATGGCGTTAGCCGCGCTGTTCCGCTCGGTCTTGCTGACCCCTGCAGTGCTCGCCGCTGTCGTTTGTCTCGTGGTTCTGGTTGTCGTCCTCCTGGTTGTTCTGGTTGTTGTTCTTCTGGTGGTGGTGGTGGTGGTTGCCGCTGTAGTGGTGGAGGCACGTGTTGACTTTCTCCAGGCCGTCCATCGACTGTTGGCTTTGGGTCGCTTGGTGAACCAGCTCCTGGTTGTAGTTGATGGCGTGGTGGTTGTAGTGGTGGTGGTGGGCGTGGTTCTGGTGGTCGTTGTTCTTGAAGTGGTAGTAGTCTGGGTGCTGCCATGAATCTCGCGAGTTGATCGATTGGATCCCCAGCTCGAACTCCATTGCCTGGGGAAGCCAAAATGGAATCAGCTTTCTGTGTAACTAAAACATTCACAATGCTGCGATGACACTTTTGACACCTGTACCTGTCACCGCATAAAAGAATCTACTGTTCAATGCGATGCATGCTGTCAAGGGCGGATCCAGCGCCCCAACCGGGCCATGTACCCTCCCAAGATGGCAAAAGTCGGGCAAAAATGACAGCTTGAAGAAAGCAAAGCAACTTTGAATGCGACGAGTCTGTGTCAAAACACAGATTGATGTAAGAGAGCGAAATCCGGCGAGGTTCCAAACATCGGGACATTGTTGGAAGTTTGGCCCCAGGCTGGTGTGGGCCCCAAGGCGATGTTCTGGATCCGCCCTTGCATGTGATTGTAAAATACGACGGGGTAAATCCAGGCGCGACGCAATTTGAGCTGTAAAAGTAGTGGACTACTCGACATCCTGCAACTGGACCTGTTGTAACACATCCAGCTGGCATCACTAAGTCCACACTGTCCACGCAGGCATGACCATTGGTAATCCTTAGGGGCATGTCTTCCTGAATGTGTGGCTCTGCCATGACCGAGAGATCAGTTGGACTTTACTATGGCGAAAGTCTTGGGAAACTGTCACGGCACTGAGCGTGGAAGTTGCCATAATGACGTTCCCACTGGGTTGGACGTCCCCACACAGGTCAGCCTCGGCTGCAGATGGCAGTGTCACAATTGCATGCAACATTCATTCCTTGTTTAACTACTCAACTGCGCAATCTTTGCAACAGATTGTACCATACACATTTCTGGCACACCAAGGACGCATGCACCCTCAGATGTAATGCCTCTTATATCTTCGACGCGCGGATCTGCTGGCGTAAAATTTGTCCCAGCACATTCCAAAAATGGCAGTCTCTTCTGAACCTTGCTACATTCCGCCGAACTCCACGCTAAGACGATGCCTATCTAACGCTCAGACGGCGACGGACAAAAAACAACACTAATCGGATTCATCTTCGTGGGAGCTCTCGCGCGCAGCCTTTTGGGCCCTTTAATGGCGCGAAGGGATTTTTCAGTTTCCTCAAAAGTTTTTGTTTCCGACACCGATCTCACTCGCAGCTCATCGGGCCCACTACTGCGAACCGTTTGCTTCTGGGACTTGACTGGAGATCAGACTCGTTGATCGGCACATGTTTGGTGTGTCTGGCTCGCACGCCGCTCAGGCCAGCCTGCAGTGCGGTCATGATTCCCTGGAGTGGCGGGTGGTCGGCCCGTTCCTGCCATCAATCCTGTGGCGGATCTATACCGGGAGTGGCTGCTGTCTGGCTCACGCCGACGTCCTCCCGCGACTGAGGCGTCGACCCGGACATAACCGCTGCAGTCTGGCTCCTCCCGTGACTGAGGCGCCGACCAGGACATAACCGCTGCAGTCTGGCTCACGCCGACGTCCTCCCGTGACTGAGGCGCCGACCCGGACATAACCGCTGCAGTCTGGCTCCTCCCGTGACTGAGGCGCCGACCCGGACATAACCGCTGCAGTCTGGCTCCTCCCGTGACTGAGGCGCCGACCAGGACATAACCGCTGCAGTCTGGCTCCTCCCGTGACTGAGGCTCGACTAGGACATAACCGCTGCAGTCTGGCTCCTCCCGTGACTGAGGTGCCGACCCGGACATAACCGCTGCAGTGTGGCTCCTCCCGTGACTGAGGCGCCGACCCGGACATAACCGCCAGCGGTGGCTGCATACCCGTGGCCAGCCAGCTCGGTCGGGCGATATATTGCCGGCTGTCAAAGTGCCGGCCGGTCCGCCTCACCACGTGGTGCTCGGCCGGCCGCAGAACACACGGCGGCCAGCTTCGAGATCCGCCTCGTGTGGCTGCTGTGCAGCGCGTTGTAATGTCGAGTGTTGTTAATAACCATGTTAACAGATTCGTGCGTCAAGCGCATTGCAGTTCTAATATTGCAAAGAATGTTTGGGAGGTCATGCGCTGACTCGTGTCGTGGACAGCTCCTTCGCCGGCCTGGCAACAAGCGGGCTGCTGCCAGTCCATAAGCTTTGCAACACGGCGACAAGGGGCAAAGTGAAGGTTTCAGTGACAGATCAGTGATGATAGATTGCTGGTTGTGACGGGGAACGTAATGTTAAGCCTCGTTGATTCTGGCGCTCCGCGCGGGACTCTTAAAGACCGACCCAGACGGCCAGCCGCTAGGCCATTGGTCCAGCAGGTGGCATCTTCGCCACTGGCAGGTCTTATCGGATGAACCCGTCATAAATGTCTGATAAAGACGGCATCCCCGCGGCCGGCGGCTCACTTTTTAGTGGTGGACTTCTCGGTGGTCTGGATGGGAGGGTCCGTCCACACCGGCCTCGTCTGGGTGGCGCTGGTGAAGTAGTCGCTGGAGCCGTAGGAGATGGGACCGAAGCCGTTCCCGGAGCTGTCGTCCGTCACGCAGTAGCCGTCCCGACAGTACTGCAACGGCAGCGGCAGCGGTCAGTCCAGCTGACACCACAGCGGAAGGAGCGGCCCGGCCTGTACCGGTCCGGTCCGGTCCCGCTCCGCTGGAAGTGGTCCCGGGGGTACCGGCGGGCCACCATCGGCCGGCGCAATAGCTGAAGATGATTGTGAGGTTACAAAGCGCACTGCTAACAAGACGCAAACCTCGCTGTTGCCAGGCAACAGAGCCGCCGTGTGAGATACGCCATCAGCAGAGTCCTCGCGTCACTAAGAGCATAACAATTTGAGGAAGTCGGAGCAATCTGTGTGGTACCTGCAGGATGTCATTATCTTTAACACAATGGCCATTGCAAGGCCATCAAATCGAGAAAACCAAATAAGTCACCAGTATGACAGTGCCTTCGGATGACTACGTGAAAAATACATGACCTTCTTCTTGTGTTAGCTATGGGCGTCATCACCACCGGGGTCGATGGGTCCGGACCCCATTAACCATGTGGCACGTAGATTTGTTTGTGCTTTGATCATACAAAACGTCACCAATACAGAAATGAACTCCACTAACATTTAAGGCGTGGTTACGCCGATGGTTTTAGGAAGCGCCTTTAACCAAAATGATGGGTCAGTTCTATTTTTGTGACCAAAATATCGTTGCCTTTTTGACAGGTGCGTGCTTGGTACGCTGTGTCGTTCATCCGCATGCATACGCTGTACTCGAATTGGGCAAACGAGCAGTTTTTGCGGGATAAGGTAAAACCTAAACTGTCTCATATTTCTAGCCGGCGCACTTTCAATACTTCCTCAACATTTACTGTAAAACTTCCATTGTATGACCATCAACGCCTGTTTGCACTGTCATTTGTCCTGGTTGCCCGTAGTTATGGCCGATTTGCACTACGGGTACGGCTACACGGCAAATTCAGTGAACCCAAATGTCGTCTCTTCTTTCCGTCAGTCATAAGGGCCTATAGTTGATTCTCAGGAGGGAAGATGCTTCCACCAGGTTTTTTTGCAGCAACCGCTGTTAAAACCAAAAGTTAAAATGTCCTGAGCTGAAGTTACAGAGCCACAAGTAATGCCCTTGCATCCGCTTGCAAAATCTTGTGGAGCAAAATTATTACTTGCGGCACGCATTCGTTAAAAGTGTCGTCAGCAACACAAATGCAATAGCACTGTTCTCACCCCGGCTGCGGAACACGCTATCCAGCCAGGCTGCCTCGCCCGATGCTCCAGATAATTTAGCGACCTGGACCCACCTTGCCGACACCACAGGGCGAGCCCTCAGCCGCTGGGCGATAGGACACGCAGTAGCCCGTCGCCTGGTCAAAGCAGAAGAGCTGCGCGCAGACCCGGTCGTCCTTGAAGCAGGCGCTCGTGCCGCGGTCCCGCTTACACTGCGCGTCCAACGAGAGCAGCTTGCCGGGGAGGTGGCGGTCCAGGTTGTTGCGCTCGTGCGGTGCGTTGTACAGGCACGTGGCCGTCTCGCCGCTGGCAAATAGAGCAGGGGTGAGCCTTCGGTGGGGACTGAGGACTCGGTGGTGAAACAGGGGCAGAGCTACAACTGAGCTGTAAATGGGCGAGGTTAGAGCAATATAAATTTGATTCCGGGTATGTTGGTGCAAGTGCTATTTCTTTCAATAGAAAAAGGTGCACCGGCTGCTTGGCCATAAGGCTTGCTTTAAGAAGACTGAATGCACCACAAATGGTGTACTCAGGTGACCGTCCACATCCCACGTTCGCATCCTCAGATGTTTCTTCCAAGACGCGTTAGTGGCATGACTATGCGTCTTTCTCGTAGCCAGTCCTCCTCCTAGGCCGGGCCAGTTCCCCACTACTCACTTGAGAAAGTGGTCGAATTCCTCCAGGCTGCAGGGCGACCACTTGAAGCCCTTCTCGGTGTGCCGCAGGTCGGACATGATGAAGCCCTCCTCCCAGCGGCAGCGCTTGGCGCCCGGCCCGCCCAGGTAGGATGGCGGCGGTGAGCCGTCGTGTACATTGCCCAGCAGGTGGCCCAGCTCGTGGGCAGCCACGATGATGCCCGAGAAGCCGCCCGTGTCCTCCACGATCGCCACCGAGTTCACCTTGGTCAGCCGCTTGTTGACGACGCACGCGCCACCGACGTACGCGAAGCCTGCGGCGACGGCGACGGCGGCGGCGGTCAGCTTACAGATGGCAGTGGCGCGGCGTGGGGAGGCGGCAGCGTCTTATCAGCGACGGATTCAGTGAGGCTGTTATGTGGGTTTACGACGATAGCACAAGTGGACTCCAGAAGTGAGGACGACAACTTGGGCAAAACGCCGGCACGTAAGCCAAGTTTTGCTTTAGCAAAGAAGGTGGGTGCGCTGATGCAGAACAACGATAATGTAGCTCTATTATATGGCTGGGCCATGCTTTCACTTAGATGCTTATACTTTTCGTCAAATAATGATGTTTTACCATTGTGACATCTATTTCAGACAAAAATGGTACGGTTTAGTGACTAACCTTGCATACACAAAAAAGAGATTGGCAGCACGATTTAACAGTGTTTTTTTCATGCGAACAACTCCAGCAGCAAAGTACGTGAATGGTTCGACGAAGTGATCTTTTTCCAGCGGCATGCCTCCATCACGAGCAGGTTAGCGGCGCAAACCAGGGGGGCGTTTCACAGTCGTCCGCTTTAGTTCAGCCGCTCGGCCTCAGTCACGGTCACGCTCACAGGTCCACAGTCCAGCGAAGCGAGGCAGAGAAACAGAAGGCGTGGGGTGAGCATACTGAATCGTACATGCGCGCTGGTGAGTTAATGGTTGGGGATGAACGCGGGTGAGTGGCCTGACAGTGGCAGCGGTCCTAACTGAAGATGCGTGTCAAAGAGAATGGAAAAAGCAATCGTGAAACACCGCGGGCATGCGTTCCAAGAAGCGTTTCGATAGGCTGGTCATGCGTCATGATTGCCGCAGCTCTTAGGCCAGCGCAGGAGCTATGGCGATCAGTTAAGGATGGCGACCCGCAGTCTTAGCATCTTCAGAGACGCGCGCTGCACTCTGGCACACCAGTGTTAGGCCACATCCTTAGATCAAGGTCACTACCTCCATGCACCTCCTGCGGACGGACTTGGCTAAGCTGCTACCGAGAAGCGAATAGGCAATGTCACGGTGACGTCACAATGAGTATCTCAGATCCCAACATAAAGGCATTCCAGTGCGCGGAGTCTATCTGTGCCGGCGTCTAGGCGTGCCACGTCAGACGTCGCCGGCACGCGGTCTTACCAGCCGTTCCCGTGTTACATGGTCCATAGTCATAGTCTTTTCTGCACATGTCAAGCCTGAAAACAACGCGCACACGCTGAGTGAGGATCTCGGCTCGGCCGGGAGCGGTTGACCCCGGAGTGCTCACGCTACGGAGCACGATCCATGGGACACGTCTTCGGCGAGCGCGTCCGCATGTCCCTCCACAGTCAAAGCGAGTATAGACAGGCAGCAGGCGCTCGTAAGCACATTCTCCCCAGCCAGCTGGACAGAGAAGAGACATGCGTCAGCTCGGTCGTGGTCGGCTTCGTTCGGCCACCTGTCTGGGCCCCGTCGGGGCCGGTTAGTCCAGGTGTGTGGGCTGTCGGTCAGCGGGCGGGCGGCGCCCGAGGCGTTTCTCGGTCTCGGGTGGGTCAGGTCGGTCCTGCAAGGCGCGGCTGGTCAGGGCACACGTACCGGCGGTTCCCTTGGTGCACTTGCCGCTGTTTCGCCGTCGGCACAGGTCGTGTCTGTGGAAGACGGCTGTCAGCTGCGGGCTACCGACCGACGTGGTGCGCGTGCACGGGAGTGGGGTGGGCGAAGGGCGGGGGGGGGGAGATAGCGACCAACGACTTTGCAAATTAGGAGGCCTCTTAGACCATGCATGATCGAAAGACCATAAGACATGCGTCTCCAAATGAATGGACACAAAGTTAGGTACAAGTCCGTAAACCCTTTGCCTCACACTGAGATCTAAGCAGACGCTCGCATAATTTAGCTGGCTAAAAGGTGTTTGTGGGATGTTTTTTAGTGAAACACATGTATGGTATAGCCGTGCCCCCCCCCCCCCCAAAGATGGCGGAATGCGCCCCTGGGGCACCCAGTGCATTCCGATCGCCTCAAATTGGCGAACCATCGACAACCGTCACCACCGATTCCACACAGCAACGGCCCAGCCGATCTGGTCGGCTGCTGCCCTGATCGCTCCGGAGGAGCTGCCGTGACTCTCGACACCCACGCGAGGCGCCGGTCAGGGCGACGCTCAGACGACGTCGCGCTTGGCCCGGATGTGGGCAGGCGCGCGTTGATGTCATCTGGTACCGAGCCGGACACCCCCGGGCAACCGGATAATGACTGAGCCAGGATCACCCGGTCCCATTGCTGGATTCGAGCTCCGGGAAGGGATTTCCGTTTTTGTTTTCTGCGTCCAGCGCCGGCGAGAAACGCTGGCCTCCAGCTGGAACTGGGCTGCCAAACCGGAGAAGATCTGCGGTTTCGGGGAGCACTGGGCCGGTTTGGATGAGACAGGAGGCGGGGAGGGCCGGCGGCTGCGCGGGGATCGTGACGTCACAGGACGCCAGCTGACGTCAGCGCCGCACCCTGCCGACGGGCGAGTTCTCGTCGACGTCATCCACGGGTCGGTCGGGGGAATCACGCATCGCCAGCAGATCTGACATAATGCCGCGCTGGGTGCTCCGGCGCATTGAAAAGTGTGGCTAGGGAGGTGTGGCTACAGAGCTAGGGAGGTGGCATGCTCGCCTCGCTGTGGTACCAGCACACGTCAGCTGGGCCGAAAGCCATGCACAGGCAAGTGAGCAATCACAGTGCGTTTATCATCACCTGCAGCTTGAGATTAATCAGACTTGCACGGGAGCTACTCTCCATCCTGGTCTTAGCCAGCCGGCTTGAATGTTCATCCCGTGCACTTAGCGCCGGGTTTCTCCAGATGTATGTCCTGATAGTTAAAGGACGCCCAAGGCAAATGCCATACGACGGGGAAGAGCCAAGACCACGTAGCGCACCAGACATCATGGCGTGATATGCCCTGAATGTGGCGTGGCGTGAATGTGGCGTAATGTGGTGTGAATATAGCGTTAGTTCATTGACAGCCCGGAAACAAACTGAAATTGGACCAACGTCTTTAAGAATGTCGGTTTTTCCGCTTGTCTGCCGGAGATACGACTATGCCAACCAAATTGACAGTTCTGTCCCATTTCTCCAGGGGCAGAAGTGGACGGGACAGACCCGATCACATTCAACACTAGCCAACATCAGCATCATCTACCGGCAGTATCCGTAATCTCGAACATGTAAGCAACAGCGGCCGTAGCCCAGCCCAGATGATGCCCAGATGCGCGGCCGGGGCGGTATCCAGACGCCCGGCCGGGGCAGTGCCCAGACGCCTGTTTGGGGCAGTACCCAGATGCCCGGCCGGGGCAGCGCCTGGCCGGGCAGTGTCTAGATGCCCGGCTGGGGCAGGGCCCAGGTGTGCAGCCGGAGCCTCTTGCGTCAGTTGGCTGTCTTTGGGCGGGGGGTGCGGCGGGTTGTTGGACCAGCTCGAGACTGTTCGGACTCGGATGGGTACGGGACAGGCTTGAATGTCGTGAGCCTCGTTGACAAGCAGGAAGGACTTAGCTAGGTGGGCAGGGACATTGAAAACCCGTTGCTCACTACGGGTCCGTATGGCGGCGCTTTCTACGAAAGCATGTTAGGTGGTAGGCCACTAGAAGGGAATAATGGGATCAGCTGCTTCAGCCGGTCTGTGGATCCTGTGCAGCCACGGGACGGTCGATGCAGGGGAGGACTTGACCAAGTCTGGGCCGTAGTCAGAGCAGAATGCTAAGATATGGGACTGCCGCTGAGTGCGTCAAAATTCGAAGCGCAGATTAAGAGATCATGAAGAAGCGACTCAGCCTCAGTAATTATCGGAGTCCGGACTGGGGCGAGATCGCAACCAGAGCTGGGACTCAGATCGAGCCAACGGCTGAGACTCAGATCCAGCCAGAGCTGAGACTCAGATCCCGCCAACGGCTGAGACTCAGATCTGGCCAACGGTTGAGACTCGGACTCAGCCAGCGGCCGAGTCATCGTAGGATCTCGTCACTTTTGGAGAAGTACAGGCAGTCCGAACTGGGCCTCAGACCTAGCCAACAGCTGTCGAAGCGGAATCCAGAAGCTGTGTTCTTCCGAAGCTGTATGCGTCAAAGTGACAGTCTTCGTGGAACGACGAATTTATCCCAGTAACCGATGGAACCACGACCAAATATGACAATATGAAGACAGCTTATCAAGCGTCATCATGCCACACAATATTTCTACCATTTGGGAAGCAAAGACACCACAATAATGACAGAGTACACGGTATGCCAGCCGAAACAAGACACCCCCATCCCAGTGACGCTGGACGGCTAACGAACGCCGTTGGGCGGCTAGGATGCATACTCACTTGGTGATCGCCATAGCAATGTCGTATGTCGGCAGGCGTCGCTCCTCGAACAGGTATTTGCCCATGGCGGTGAGAGCGGCGGCCGAGTCGATCGAGTCCCTCGTCACCTTGTTCTCCTCCAGGTACGGTGTGGCGTCGGCGCCCTGTCGAGCAGCGGCAACAAGTCTCAAGGCCGGCCCGATCCAGACCCCAGGCCGCGGGAAGGGCTGCCAGTGCAGCCAGGTGCAGTCAGCCGCACCAGTTATGTCCTGTTACACTCGGCGTGACTGCCCAGATCCGATGTGTGTTAGAGGCGTCCAGATGTTTAGCGTCTGGGCATTATGGCACGTTAAAGGTACGTTAAGCTCTTGTTAAAATTGGGTTTCAAGGCTCAAGACGAATCAGAGGTGTGATGAATTAATGAATGGGTGTCTTAAGCTCCCACGCGTTAGGTCCAGTTCCGATCCCACTCGCACCACACTCCTTGGGCGTTATTGTGGTCACCGTAGCTGCTGGCGTTTCATGAACCCGTTTGGGACGACGCACGCCGCGTCTCCGTAAAACAAGAACGGATTTAAACAGCCAGGGAAGGTATCAGTCACTGTGACAGTCCAAGTTCCATAGCCCAGCTGCTCTCCAGGGTTATCTCATCCGTCCATGACGGGATATCGATGTCGCAATTTTGGCTGCAGGCATCACTAGACCAGCAGGTCCAGTGCCTGGATCGTTCCCCCAGGTGCGCTGCCCATCCGTGGTACGAGTACCTTCAAATCGCTTCCCGACAGGGTACTGCAGCGGTCTCTGACATTGGCATCGCAGGCCGGTCCCGACGTCCAGGCTGGGTCTCCACCCCCGGCCCCAGTTACTGGTCCCCAGACCTGAGACCTTACCGCCGGGCCTGAATACCTGGCATCGGTTCTCAGATCTAGTACCCCACCGCCCAGTCCCGTACACCGATCACCAGATCTGAGGCCTTGCCGCCGGTCCTGGACACGGGTCCCCAGGCCTGAGACCTCACCACCCTGTCCCGGACGCCGGTGCCGGCCGCCTGCTGACCCTGCGACCTTGGTGTCCGATTACGCGGCCGGGGTGTGCCGCCGGATTAGTGCCACCGCCGCCGCCGCTGACACGCCGCCCACGTCAGCGCTGCGCGCCCGGTTAGAGCCACGCCGCGAACGTCGCCGCGCCACTAACGGCGCTGCGCGGCTGCACCCCGGACTCCGTGCCAAGCTCGTCGGAGAGGGGGGGGGGGGGGGCCGAGCCGGGAAGGGATGCCCGGCGGGGCCGTGGGACGGGGTAAAGCCTGACAGGTAATGCGCGGATTTCCAGGTGAAGGATAGTTCGTTGGTTATCGATGGCTCTGGGAACACGTTGATCCTCCAAGCACGGAACGATTTCTAGTGCCACCGCGTGTTTGAGGCATCTGGCTTTGTGCTTTAAGAAGAGCTTCACGATCCTACGTGATGTCTATTTATTGGACAAGCTTAGACGGCTACGGTACGGGTGATTTTACTGTTGCAAACGTGTGATAAGCACCCGATATGCTAGCAGCGCGGTCACATCCTCTTTTAGTCAATCAACCGGGTCGACGTTGTTGATGCAGTTGCGAACGAACAAATGCTGGATGAAATGGATTACCGTGCATACGTTCTTCCACAACATTGCCCTAATATGGAAACAAAGCGATTCCGGATGTATCTGCACGCATTGTTCTCAAGAAAAGACTCGTCTGCGACAGACAACTCCGCGCACTCTTGGCATTCCTTCTGGACAGCTGCGACAGGCAACTCCGCGCACTCTTGGCATTCCTTCTGGACAGCTTTGCCGCTCTGATACTGACACCAAGCTGCGGAATGCTAAGATAAGATTTCCTCCGCCGTTACTTAAGGCGCTCATTAGCTGACAATGTGAGCTCCAAAGCTGATGAGTGCGAGCACCATTTACATACCACCAGAGACACGCCCGTCGCTCAGACGTTGGGAGCGTGCCACTTACCCGAGAGATAATCATGCCGGCTATGTTGACCTTGATCTCGGGATTGCGCAGCTGTTTGTACCGCAGATCGACGCCGTTCATAAAGCTGGTGAAATACTTCTTGATCTTGTTGTTGTCCTGATCATGGAGCCTGAAATGCGAGCGAAAAGTGCTGAAAGTTTTCGCCAACGTGACACGTCCCGTGCAGGTGACAGGTACTGATACACAACTGCGCAGACACTGTGTGACGGATCAGCGGACCGCGCAAGCGCAGGACGTCAGGACATCTGACAGCCGGCAGCACAGACACCGAACTAGCGCCGGCACCGCAGCCTGTCCGTGCGTGACGCTGCGCGTCCATGCCGTCACGCATGCCGGTGACAGTTTCCGCTTAGGGAAAGCATTTACTTTGCTGAAGTTCTATGCCTGGCGGATATTTTTGCAGATGGGTTGCCTGGAGACAGAGTGTCAGACCAAAAACATTGTCGAGGATAGCCTGGAAGCAGCCAGTGCACCTGGTATGATCCGTGATGCTTAAAACCGCAGCCAGTTAAACAGCTGATCAGCCTTTCAAGCGTGAGCTAGTGAGTGCAGCGAACGATCAAAGTGCCAACAAGAAAATAATTGGCAAAGTACCTTAGGAGACCGCCTTTGCGTGTGCTGATAATAAACGCTCACGCGAATATTGCTCGAGGACCTGACAAACAACCAAAAGCGAGGCAGCGGCAGCAGAAAGACGTATAACCATCACGGACGAGGAGTATGGGGTACGCTGGCGCTCACAAGAAGCCGTCGTAGTCGATGATGATCAGAACCTCCGGGTAGATGACGGAGGGTGCCGATCTCCTGCGTCGGGAGCGGCGGGCGGCCGTCGGCAGCGCGTCTAGTTCCATCAGACCTGGCGGCACGGTGGCAAACGGTCAGCGGCCGCCGAAAATGAGATGTGGGGAGCGGAGGGGGGGGGGGGGGCATACGCTTGGAAGCATTGGCTTGCTTAATACGATTCCATGAATCAACTCACAATCATGATGGAGCTCCACAACGGAGCTCCGAGCTCGCGCGCACGTCAGATGCCGTCGCGAAGCTCGACGCAGCTCGTCAGATGCCGTCGCGAAGCTCGGCACAGCACGTCAGATGCCGGCGCCAAGCTCGGCACAGCACGTCAGATGCCGGCGCGAAGCTCGGCGCAGCACATCAGATGCCGGCGCGAAGCTCGACGCAGCTCGTCAGATGCCGGCGCGAAGTTCGACGCAGCTCGTCAGATGCCGGCGCGAAGCTCGGCGCAGCTCGTCAGATGCCGGCGCGGAGCTCGGCGCAGCCCGTCAGATGCCGGCGCGAAGCTCGGCGCAGCCCTTCAGATGCCGGCGCGAAGCTCGGCGCAGCCCGTTAGCTCGTTAGCTTATGTCAGCATCCAACCACAATTAATTCACCGGGCAGTTAGGTAATCATGGGTTGGGATATGGGCTCGATAGCGTGTGACTGGAAAGCAATAAAAGCTTGCGTGCTAGTCGGCTGTGGAGCCTCTAATAACAGGCCGGGTATTCGGTGTGTCATTTTGGAATGGCGTTGCTCCGAGCAATGACGTAACAACGCATTTGACTGGGGGATGGGCAGTCGGCGACCGCAGCCCAACGGGCGGCGGCAGCCAGCCGTGCCACGCAGGCTCATCAAAATCAGGACTACTTACGTGGTCCCGAGTGGAAGGGGATGGAACAGCAGATGTATAGTCGTGATAAACGTCGCTCGGGACCGGAAAAAGAAAATATTTGTAGGACCGAGGTTTTTAACAGGCAAAGGCCCTAGCCCCGAGACGGAATGTCTGCAGCGAGACTGTGTCGAGAACAGGCTAAGATAGAATACAGCCTCATTGCGGGGTCCAGAAGACGGCGTGCAGTTTGCAGTGCACGCTGGTCATGGCAGTTTTATCTTCGGAAGATCATGGATGATAAGGGGCCGTAGACATTTGTTCCGACCAAGACCCAAAAAACCCATAAGATTGCATGTTTTCCCTGCCAGCCCTTAGCTGGGCAGAGTTAAAATCCATCTGTGCTATGCCCGAGGAGGGTCCGACGCCACCCGCCCTGAACCAGGGGAGGGTCTGACCCCGCCCACCCTGAGCCCGGGAGGGTCCGGTCCCACCAACCTTGAGCCCGGGAAGGGTCTGACCCCGTCCGGCCTGAGCCTGGGGAGGGTCTGACCCCGTCCGGCCTGAGCCTGGGGAGGGTCTGACCCCGCCTGGCTTGAGACCGAGGAGGGTCTGACCCCGTCTGGCCTGAGACCGGGGAGGGTCTGGCTCCGCCTAGCTTGAGCCCGGGGAGGGTCCGGCCGCCGCCGCGGTCCGACCTCCGCGCAGCCGGGCCCGGAACCTCAGCGAAGGCCGCCGCCGCGCGGCCGTCGGGCGTGGCACTCGGCCGCCATCCTTGAGACTGAGAGCAGGCTGCACCGGCGGCGGCGGCGGCGGCGGCGGCGGCGGCGGCCCGCACCGCCCGGCCCCGGCGGGCAGGGAGGGGGCACAAGCCGAGCCGGCGAGCGGCCGCTGCACCGCCGAGCGGGCAGGAGATTAGCTAACCATGTATGTGGACTTGGGTGCATTGAACAGACGGCGGGAAGATATGACTCCTCGATTATTTTAGTGCAGTGACCACGTTAAGCCGACGATGCCCTGGCGCGCGTGACAGCTGTGGGCAGTCGCTTTGATATCTTGTCAGCTTGACCAATCTTTGTGATAATCTTCTATTTTGTTTCGTAATATACTTGCGATTCTTTGTCGCAGAAAACGGCGGGAAACCCTCACCACACAACCTTCATCACTTCATTGCTGCCTTGACAAGCTAGAGAACCGACATAGTTCTGGCCATGCCTGTCCTGCAATTTTCATTGGAGTTTAATATTACGTACATTATGCACGCAAAGAAAGAGATTTATGGGATGCATCAAAACCATAACGCAGATTTGGCCATGCGCTTTTTGAGTCGTTTCCATGCCCCTGTGTTGTGGCCTGGCGCCACGTCATGCCAGTGGACATGGACATAATGTTGCTTGATTGCTATTGTTTTCACCATGTATAAACGGTTGTATAGAATGCACATGAACGGAAAACATCTGAGTCCTTCCACGCGTGTTATCCGAAAGCTCGGCTCAGCTAAACCGGTTTTTCCCCAGCCATCAACAGCGCACAACCAGATGAAATCACCATTACGACAAATATCCCGCCGCCATCCACTTGGACAGCTGCCAGGGCCGCCAGAGCTGTCGCTGCGCGGTGAGACGTTCCGGCTTTCGCAGTGGCCACCGCACCCCGGCGCTGGCCAGGACTCGAACCGCGGAGTCTTCGGAACTCCGAGTCGAACCACGGAGTCGTCGGGACTCCGATAGGGGCAGCGAACCGTCGGGAATCCGAATCAAAACGTCGGGTCGTCGGTACTCGGGGCGCAGAGTCGTCAGGACTCTGACCACGCGCAACGCGGTGCTTTCACGGTATGGAAGACTGGCCGGGACGCGCCGGGCAGCGGCGGTCCTGCCCGGCGCGGCCAGTGGTGTCGTCCGAGTTAGACCCACTGCTGTCCTGCGAGTGACGCCGCGAGTTAGACCCACTGGTGTCCTGCGAGTGACGCCGCGAGTTAGACCCATTGCTGTCCTGCGAGTGACGCCGCGAGTTAGACCCACTACTGTCCTGCGAGTGACGCCGCGAGCTAGACCCACTGCTGTCCTGTGAGTGACGCCGCGAGTTAGACCCACTGCTGTCCTGTGAGTGACGCCGCGAGTTAGACCCACTGCAGTCCTGCGAGTGACGCCGCCGGCGGCAATTTTCTGCCCGCGGGCAGTATCGCGGACTGAGTTTCCCGCGCAGTAGGAAAACAGCACCGGACTTGTGGGAAAGCTCGGGGACAGGACGTGACGTCAGCGTGGCAGTCACGAGGACCCGTGGAGGCCGAGACCGTACTGACGTCAGGGTGGCAGTCACGAAGACCCGCAGGGGCCGAGACCGTACTGACGTCAGGGTGGCAGTCACGAAGACCCGCAGGGGCCGAGACCGTACTGACGTCAGGGTGGCAGTCACGAGGACCCGCGGAGGCCGAGACCGTACTGACGTCAGGGTGGCAGTCACGAGGACCTGTGGAGGCCGACACCGTACTGACGTCAGGGTGGCAGTCACGAGGACCTGTGGAGGCCGAGACCGTACTGACGTCAGGGTGGCAGTCACGAGGACCTGTGGGGGCCGAGACCGTACTGACGTCAGGGTGGCAGTCACGAGGACCCGTGGGGGCCGAGACCGTACTGACGTCAGGGTGGCAGTCACGAGGACCTGTGGGGGCCGAGACCGTACTGACGTCAGGGTGGCAGTCACGAGGACCCGCAGGGGCCGAGACCGTACTGACGTCAGGGTGGCAGTCACGAAGACCCGCAGGGGCCGAGACCGTACTGACGTCAGGGTGGCAGTCACGAAGACCCGCAGGGGCCGAGACCGTACTGACGTCAGGGTGGCAGTCACGAAGACCCGCAGGGGCCGAGACCGTACTGACGTCAGGGTGGCAGTCACGAAGACCCGCAGGGGCCGAGACCGTACTGACGTCAGGGTGGCAGTCACGGGGACCTGTGGAGGCCGAGACCGTACTGACGTCAGGGTGGCAGTCACGAAGACCCGCAGGGGCCGAGACCGTACTGACGTCAGGGTGGCAGTCACGGGGACCCGTGGAGGCCGAGACCGTACTGACGTCAGGGTGGCAGTCACGAGCACCCGTGGAGGCCGAGACCGTACTGACGTCAGGGTGGCAGTCACGAGGACCTGTGGGGGCCGAGACCGTACTGACGTCAGGGTGGCAGTCACGAGGACCTGTGGAGGCCGAGACCGTACTGACGTCAGGGTGGCAGTCACGAGGACCCGTGGGGGCCGAGACCGTACTGACGTCAGGGTGGCAGTCACGAGGACCTGTGGGGGCCGAGACCGTACTGACGTCAGGGTGGCAGTCACGAGGACCCGCGGAGGCCGAGACCGTACTGACGTCAGGGTGGCAGTCACGAAGACCCGCAGGGGCCGAGACCGTACTGACGTCAGGGTGGCAGTCACGAAGACCCGCGGAGGCCGAGACCGTACTGACGTCAGGGTGGCAGTCACGGGGACCCGCGGAGGCCGAGACCGTACTGACGTCAGGGTGGCAGTCACGAGGACCCGTGGGGGCCGAGACCGTACTGACGTCAGGGTGGCAGTCACGAAGACCCGCGGAGGCCGAGACCGTACTGACGTCAGGGTGGCAGTCACGAGGACCCGCGGAGGCCGAGACCGTACTGACGTCAGGGTGGCAGTCACGAGCACCCGTGGAGGCCGAGACCGTACTGACGTCAGGGTGGCAGTCACGAGGACCTGTGGAGGCCGAGACCGTACTGACGTCAGGGTGGCAGTCACGAGGACCTGTGGAGGCCGAGACCGTACTGACGTCAGGGTGGCAGTCACGAGGACCCGCGGAGGCCGAGACCGTACTGACGTCAGGGTGGCAGTCACGAGCACCCGTGGAGGCCGAGACCGTACTGACGTCAGGGTGGCAGTCACGAGGACCTGTGGAGGCCGAGACCGTACTGACGTCAGGGTGGCAGTCACGAGGACCCGCGGAGGCCGAGACCGTACTGACGTCAGGGTGGCAGTCACGAGGACCTGTGGGGGCCGAGACCGTACTGACGTCAGGGTGGCAGTCACGAGGACCCGCGGAGGCCGAGACGGTACTGACGTCAGGGTGGCAGTCACGAAGACCCGCAGGGGCCGAGACCGTACTGACGTCAGGGTGGCAGTCACGAGCACCCGTGGAGGCCGAGACCGTACTGACGTCAGGGTGGCAGTCACGAGGACCTGTGGAGGCCGAGACCGTACTGACGTCAGGGTGGCAGTCACGAAGACCCGCAGGGGCCGAGACCGTACTGACGTCAGGGTGGCAGTCACGGGGACCTGTGGAGGCCGAGACCGTACTGACGTCAGGGTGGCAGTCACGAAGACCCGCAGGGGCCGAGACCGTACTGACGTCAGGGTGGCAGTCACGAGGACCTGCGGAGGCCGAGACCGTACTGACGTCAGGGTGGCAGTCACGAGGACCTGTGGGGGCCGAGACCGTACTGACGTCAGGGTGGCAGTCACGAAGACCCGCAGGGGCCGAGACCGTACTGACGTCAGGGTGGCAGTCACGAGGACCCGCGGAGGCCGAGACCGTACTGACGTCAGGGTGGCAGTCACGAAGACCCGCAGGGGCCGAGACCGTACTGACGTCAGGGTGGCAGTCACGAGGACCCGCGGAGGCCGAGACCGTACTGACGTCAGGGTGGCAGTCACGAGGACCTGTGGGGGCCGAGACCGTACTGACGTCAGGGTGGCAGTCACGAAGACCCGCAGGGGCCGAGACCGTACTGACGTCAGGGTGGCAGTCACGAGGACCTGTGGAGGCCGAGACCGTACTGACGTCAGGGTGGCAGTCACGAGGACCTGCGGAGGCCGAGACCGTACTGACGTCAGGGTGGCAGTCACGAGGACCTGTGGAGGCCGAGACCGTACTGACGTCAGGGTGGCAGTCACGAGGACCCGCAGGGGCCGAGACCGTACTGACGTCAGGGTGGCAGTCACGAAGACCCGCGGAGGCCGAGACCGTACTGACGTCAGGGTGGCAGTCACGAAGACCCGCAGGGGCCGAGACCGTACTGACGTCAGGGTGGCAGTCACGAAGACCCGCAGGGGCCGAGACCGTACTGACGTCAGGGTGGCAGTCACGAAGACCCGCGGAGGCCGAGACCGTACTGACGTCAGGGTGGCAGTCACGAAGACCCGTGGGGGCCGAGACCGTACTGACGTCAGGGTGGCAGTCACGAGGACCTGTGGAGGCCGAGACCGTACTGACGTCAGGGTGGCAGTCACGAGGACCCGCAGGGGCCGAGACCGTACTGACGTCAGGGTGGCAGTCACGAAGACCCGCGGAGGCCGAGACCGTACTGACGTCAGGGTGGCAGTCACGAAGACCCGCAGGGGCCGAGACCGTACTGACGTCAGGGTGGCAGTCACGAAGACCCGCAGGGGCCGAGACCGTACTGACGTCAGGGTGGCAGTCACGAAGACCCGCGGAGGCCGAGACCGTACTGACGTCAGGGTGGCAGTCACGAAGACCCGTGGGGGCCGAGACCGTACTGACGTCAGGGTGGCAGTCACGAGGACCTGTGGAGGCCGAGACCGTACTGACGTCAGGGTGGCAGTCACGAGGACCCGCGGAGGCCGAGACCGTACTGACGTCAGGGTGGCAGTCACGAGGACCTGTGGAGGCCGAGACGGTGCTGAGCTCCCCTCTTATCTGGCGGGCTCGAGTAACGGTCCCACTATGGTTTGCGGCTGCCGGTGCAGGCTTACCGCTGGGCCGGGCATGCATCGCTCCCAAGCAGGTTGTTGATTCCCGAGCGGTGATTGGGCGTTCGCGTTCGATGAGTATTGGGCTGCATCCGCCACATAAAACACTTCGATGGTGCGCTGCTTATATCGGGTTTTCACACTTAAATTACTATCGGCGTCAACCGCATACAACGTTTGATGGCCTCCAAACTGAGAACGTCAGCACCAGGGTGTAGAACTGGTTAGAAGGCTGGCTAGGGCCGTCTGGTCTGTAGGCTCACATGTCTCTAGTGCAAATGGAAACACCCTCTCTAATATTCTCACTGGCACCTTACTCTGACTGTGGGCAGCCCCATTCCAATCACCACGCCGCCAGATCACCAGCGTCCCACTCGCCGGACTAAGCCGCCGGCGATCTCACCTGCCGCGCAAGTGTTCCCGTTCTAGCCCATAGCGACACGGACTGTGGCTCTGCCTTGCAACCGGCAGGAAAACCAGGACGCTGACTTGTCAAGGACATCTGGCATACGCAAACCTACCGTAGTCGCTCTTCAGCACAGGTGCCGCCCGCTTGTAGACGAAGTGCAGGCCCTGTGCGTGACTTTTGTGAACACGACGCCGAACACGGCGGGAACTGTTGTGGAATTCGTGCAGGGGAAAGCCATCCTCCATGATTCCCTGAAATGGGGCAGGTCGATGTCAGCGAGCTGATCCCGATCGCTATCAGTAGCTCATATTTGAATGAAAACCAAATGCTCCGTCTGAGCTGCACCCGTCGCACACGTCTCTTAGGAATATTTGTGTGTCGCTATCATTTTCGTCAGTGCACGTTCATAATAACCGTTGCTCGATGTAGTAGTCCATAAACATGCAAAAAGGCGTTAATAGGGCATTCATAACGCATTGAGAATAGTTGAAAATACGTCTTCGTCACTATACTCGTGGCGAACGTACACGAATGTCAACGCATCTGTGCCAGGCTGCGCGTACCAAGCACGTGCGGTAATCGTGTATGCAAGACTATGGCATAGGCAATCCAGACATTAAGTTCCGCTTAATGCGTATGGGAAGCGCGCGTCGCACTGTGTGCGACGAGGATGTTTGGTGGGCGCCTGCCATTGTGCCGTGTCTGTCCTCCGTGACTGAACTCACCTCGTCCTGCAGGTTCTCTTCCTCGTCCAGGAAGAACTCGTCGTCGGGAGGCAGCTCGTTGGGGTTAGTCTCGGCCTCCCTGTCCAGGTGAGCGCGCGCCGACGAGGGCAGAGGCCGGATCACGAGCGTGGTGCCGATCGTGCCATCCTGCGCAGCGGTAACCGCACCGTTAGCATCGCCAGCACCGACGGCATCGTAGGCATCGCCGACGTCAGGGGCACCGACGGCACCGTTAGCATCGCCAGCACCGACGGCATCGTAGGCATCGCCGACGTCAGGGGCACCGACGGCACCGTTAGCATCGCCAGCACCGACGGCATCGTAGGCATCGCCGACGTCAGGGGCACCGACGGCACCGTTAGCATCGCCAGCACCGACGGCATCGTAGGCATCGCCGACGTCAGGGGCACCGTCAGCTTTGTTAGCTGCACTAGCAATGCCGGTATTGCCAGCATTGGCAGGACGGAAAAGTGCAAAATGAAACGTCCTGAGATGTATCGATATTTATGTGGCATAGCAGCCTCTTGAGATAGCTCTGTCAGCTTTTAAAAGCACCCCGGTCATAGGTAGCCTGGCACCACCAGCTGGGCTGCAGCTGTGGGTTGACGGCGTGGCAGGTCTGCACCGGCCGTCAGTGAGCTATTCTCGAAGTCACATTCGCGAACCATATTTAAATATTGTCTGTCAGCGGATATTGATGCTGTCGACGCGAGCCGGTAAGGTCGTCTACGGCATAATGTAGCCGTCGCGAGGCAGTATTTCGTGACTGGCCCGGCTGCCGGCGCTGCTGGCGGCGCCGGGAGTTGACACTGATCACCGCGCCGGGCCCGTGGGCGGGCCCCTGACAACAGTGTCCGGTGCTGCCAGCCCAAGACCTGATCTCGGAGGTCACGACACGATCGTAGCCCGATCCAAGCGAGGCAATCGAGGCAGGGGGGGGGGGGACAGGCCTCGGGCCGCTTCGCCGCCACGGTCGCTGCGGCGGTGTGCCCCGTGATAGCGCAGGTGACAGGGTGCGATCGACTGGACAATGCGCGCCGGCCGGGGCGCGCGGGTGGGGCCGGTGGAGGGGGCGGTGCGGCACCCCAGCTGGGGCGGGTGACGGTCAGGCGGCCAGCGCCTGACACGGCACGGCACGGCACGGCACGGCCTGACACGGCACGGCACGGCACGGCCTGACACGGCACGGCACGGCCTGACACGGCACGGCACGGCACGGCACGGCCTGACACGGCACGGCACGGCACGGCACGGCACGGCACGGCCTGACACGGCACGGCACGGCACGGCACGGCCTGACACGGCACGGCACGGCACGGCACGGCCTGACACGGCACGGCACGGCACGGAACGGCCTGACACGGCACGCTCCGGTGCGGGTGCCCCTCTGGCAACCGGCGCCGCTGCGAACCCGTCGCAGGGAGGGACGTGCTGGCCACACCGAGGTCACAGCCGGGTGACCGCGTACCGGCCTGAGGTCATGGTCCGTGTCGGCCGAGTCAGGCGCGACCGAGGCTCAGACAAAGGTGTGGTGGTCTTCCGGCCACACATTCGATGCGTCTCTGGACTTTTGGACGGTGGATGAAAATATATCACGTCCGATGGACTTTTGGAATCGGTGAACAATAGCACCTAGGGTCTTCTTGGTGTTGGACCAGTCGCGGGAATGACCAGCCGGAACCCAGGTGCTGACACCACTCGGGTGGGACTCAGTGCACCTAGCGGCATCTGCATGCTGGCCATGCTGCAAGCGTATGCAGGGAACTGGACTCGGTGAGTCATCGGTGCCATCAGCTGGCTAATTCCAGCCGGCTATGAGCCATTACAAGCTTCTGAAAGCTAATAGGCTTATGTGAGTCAGTGATTCATGGGGGTCTTTTAGTGGCCGACTCCAAGTCTGAGTCATCTTGCTTCCAGCGATGTCGACTCATTCCAGCGGTTTGAAGCAGGTGCTGTGCGGCTCTTTCGATGCAGTCCTCAGTCCCAAAGCTTTTAGTGTTGCGTCAGCTTACTTGAAAAGTATGGTCCATTGCTAGGACAGTTTAGTGAGAGTGGCGAAACCGTGTGGAAAAAAAAGGAGCCGGGCTCAAGCGTATGTGAGCGTATGTAACGCTATCCAGGCTGTCATATTTACTCAAACAAGGCACGTCCGAGAATCGTATCCTGCCCACTGAGGCACGTCCTGACACCATGCAGGATTCGCAGAAACCGCAACGAAATTGTCGGAGATGGAGACCTCAGCATCAGCAGAACAGGTGACGGACACAGAGATGCGGACATGAAACCAAACCACCTTTTGCTTCAACTTAGCGATATCACACGGAAGTAACAAGATGCATAGCTATTCTGGAGTGGAGCTATGGGGTGCCCGCATAGGACGTTAGCTACACACATCGGTACCACGCGCCATCAATGCACCAGCGACATCCGTGCACTACCAGCTGTGCGATGACAGCATCCGTGCACTACCAGCTGTGCGGCGACAGCATCCGCTCACTGTCAGACGAGCGGCGGTAGTATCATCTCACTGTCAGTCGTGCGACGGCGGTGTCCGCACATCGCCAGTCATGTGACGGTGGCATTCACGCACCGCCAGCCGTGCGACGGCAGTACCCGCACGCTGCCAGCCGTGCGACGGCAGTACCCGTACGCTGCCAGCCGTGCGACGGCAGTACCCGCACGCTGCCAGCCGTGTGACAGCAGCACCCGCACACCACTAGCCATGCGACGGCGGTATCCGTGCACCACCCATGCAGCATCAGTATCCGCGCGGTACGACCAACACACCTCCAGTATCCGCGCGGCACGGCAAACGCGCCTCCAGTATCCGCGTGGTACGGTCAACACGCCGCCAGTATCCGCGCGGCACGGCCTACATGCCGCCAGTATCCGCGCGGCACGGCCTACACGCCGCCAGTATCCGCGCGGCACGGCCTACATGCCGCCAGTATCCGCGCGGCACGGCCTACACGCCGCCAGTATCCGCGCGGCACAGCCAACGCGCCTTCAGTATCCGTGCGGTACGGTCAACACGCCGCCAGTATCCGTGCGGTACGGTCAACACGCGCGGCACGGCCAACGCGCCTCCAGTATCCGCGTGGTACGGTCAACACGCCGCCAGTATCCGCGTGGCACGGCCAATACGCCGCCGGTATCCGCGCGGCACGGCCAACGCGCCTCCAGTATCCGCGCGGTACGGCCAACGCGCCTCCAGTATCCGCACGGCACGGCCAACACGCCGCCAGTATCCGCGCAGCACGGCAAACACGTCGCCAGTATCCTTGCGGCGCGGTCAACACGCCGCCAGTATCCGCGCGGCACGGCCAACACGCCGCCAGTATCCGCGCGGCACGGCCTACACGCCGCCAGTATCCGCGCGGCACGGCCTACACGCCGCCAGTATCCGCGCGGCACGGCCTACACGCCGCCAGTATCCGCGCGGCACGGCCTACACGCCGCCAGTATCCGCGCAGCACGGCAGACACGTCGCCAGTATCCTTGCGGCACGGCCTACACGCCGCCAGTATCCGCGCGGCACGGCCTACACGCCGCCAGTATCCGCGCGGCACGGCCTACACGCCGCCAGTATCCGTGCACTGTCGTCGGTGTGGCAGGGCGCGTGACGACTTTCCGCCGCCGTCCGGAAGCGGTCCGTGCATGACGCCGTTGTGTAACGGCGCGACGGGCTGCAGCCACTGGTGACTTTCGCCCGGAGCCGGCCCACCGCCGCCAGACCAATAGACCCGATCACGGGCCCGACCACGCGTTCGGCCCCGTGGTCGGGCCAGGGCCTGCGTGAAACAAGGTGTGATCGGGTGGACTGTAGCGGACGACGGGATGTGATCGGATGGACTGTAGCGGGCGCCGGGGCGTGATCGGTGGACTGTAGCGGGCGCCGGGGTGTGATCGGATGGACTGTAGCGGGCGCCGGGGTGTGATCGGGAAGACTGTAGCGGGCGCCGGGGTGTAATCGAGAAGACTGTAGCGGGCGCCGAGGTGTGATCGGTGGACTGTAGCGGGCGCCGGGGTGTGATCGGATGGACTGTAGCGGACGACGGGGTGTGATCGGATGGACTGTAGCGGGCGCCGGGGTGTGATCGGGTAGGATCGCGGCCGGCGCCGGATGTGTTTGTTCGGCGGAGCGTGGGGAAGGGTCGCAGACTCGGAGGACAGACCCCGCGACAGGTGTCGACGGCCGAAGGCGGTGAGGATGTCGCTGCGCGGACGGGGCGGGGGCGGACTGGACGCCGTGATGTCAACAACTGCTGCATACGGCGCAAAAAGAGTGTAGCGCGGGGAATATTGACGAGGAAGTGCGCCGCGTGATGATCGGAGCTCTCGGCTGACTGGGGCGTCAAGACCATAGGCGAGTACAACACACTTTCCCTGAAGTCATCAGAGAAATCAGTTCTGTTTTCGTGTGGGATTGTTCAGTGGTCCTTGCGATGCTGGTTCCCAGCGTTGGAAAACTCTTTCGCTGTCAGCGTGAAGCTGCTGAGAGCACATGTTACTGCTGTGGAGTCAAACAGATCGGTCTTCATGGAGCAGAGCTCGTCGGCCGAGGACGAGTAGCGCACAGGAGAGCAGCCTTGAAACGACCAGTCGGCGTTGATAATTTTTCCATCTTGTTAGCCATGGATTTCTAATTGAAATCGTTACGGTCCGTCGGCTTTAAACAACAGCCGCGAGTGGTAATCTTCTCCAGCGATGCGGGCCAAACCCACTTTCAGTTTCATCTCCACCGTGCGATTAACTCATACATCACAGGTTCGCATGTCGTGAGGTAATTGGGTATCTTTTTCACAGCAGCGACATGTTGGTCCCAGTCTCTTAGCCAGGAAGCCGCGTATAATGCAAAGAATTGTAATGCAGATGCTGGACGTACATAGCCCGCGCTGTACGGAGAGCCTTGATATTGGATTACCATACCTGGCCATTTCTGAGACGCCCGGGGCCGAACCAGGAGCGGTGGCCCAAGGACAGCACACCATATGGTCCAGGTTTGCTCAAAACGGCGCAGGACAAAGGGTGTTCTGGTATCACAGTGTGCCGGAAGTTACGGCTAGATCACTCCGTAATTGGACTGTACAGCCTCTCAATGCGGTTGTACTCACACGCGCACCTAACCACGGAAACCCTGTGCGCCAGTGGCGGGACGAAAGCACTTCATAATCGCAGCGCATAGTGTGCTATTAACGACAGAGGCCATCCGGTCACAGCCGCTAGCCAACAGCTCCTTTGAATGTGGGACGCAGGTGCAGATTGATGATGACTTTAGTCCCGCCAACACATACCAAAGCCCGCCTGAACGTGTGCGCTGAGTCCGCCCCTGCCGCCACTGGGCTGACTCTGGCGGCGATACCCGAGCGACACTCGCTGGTGCGGGGCGGCTCCGTCGTCGAACTCGCCGGCGGCCTGTACTCACCAGGAGCAGGGCGTCGTTGTCCTGGTCATGGTGGACGAGCAGTGCCGCTTCGGCCTCCCGGTCCTGGTACGGGTCGCCCACGTCCAGCAGCTCAGCCTGCGGGCAAGTGACCTCTGGTCACGCGGAGCTACACCACAGCTATCATGATACCTGGCGGAACGAGCTCAGCTGTGAGGCGACAGGGTAAAGTGCAGCAAGTGATGGTGGAACGGGTTTCGTTCGAAATGATTTCATCGAGAGCTTGCCGTTGAACTTTGGAAGGCCCTCGAAGAGGACGAGGCAGCAGCCAGCTCTGAGAGTTTCGTTGGGATGAACGGGACTTTGTGGTGTACCTAGCTCCAGACTTTCCATGTTTGCTGAGCTTTCGCCCTCGAGAGCAGATATGTGTATCTGTCTTCCACCACTATTACTCCTGCCAACACTCCATCACGGAGGTATGGCAGCCAAAGCACGAGATTCAACGCGACTAAAAAGCTTTACTTGACGCCTGATCATTTCAGGGATCTTGATCCCACCCGGTTGGACACGGCCCAAGAGCTCTCCATGAGCTTTGATTTGGCGTGATATCATTTCATCTCTGCGCGAAGTCATTTGCCCGAGATGAAAATGGAGGAGAAGCTCTTCCACCGCAAATTAAGCATGATCTCGACCAAGGCTGCCAGGGAGTCACCGTCCATTGTTTCGTGCAAATGGCTGACCGCCACATCCGGCTTCACCGGACAGTCCGGCTCAATTCAGTGAGTACACTCCCATCGGGATCAGCCAGGTATCTGATCCGGATAAGGCCTCTGACCCGGCGTCAGGTGAACTGATCCGGCTTTTGATACGGCATGAGGTGGCTAGATCCGTATCGGTCGGACAATATGACCTCGGTTGAATCATGCTAGGCCGAGTGAACGCGCTTGAGCTCAGTCCGAGGGTCACGGTTCTCACCCATTCCATCACGCCCTGCAGCGCCCAGCATTCCGCTCTGTCCTTCCCACACCGCATGGTGACCTACGAGTGGGGAGCCCGGCTCGGGGAGAGCACCGCAGCGGCTTCAGCTGGCGGCTCCAGCTACTCCCGGATGCAGCTCGGGCCGCTTCCGGTCATCCTCCGCGCTTGCGTCAGAGCCGCAGCCGGCGGTCGGGCCTGATGGCCTGACGCCGCAGCTGGATCCGGTCGTCATGAGCGTGGGCTGGCCGCTAGGCCGCAGTCGACGCTCAAGGCTGCCGCCGACGGGCGGGCCGTCACCTCACGTCAGATCCGTCACGACTGCCAGCGGATAACGAGCTGATCACGCCTGGCTGCTCGAGGCGGGCTGCCCGGGAGGTCTCGCAGCTCGAGGCGGCCTGCCCGGGCGGTCCCGCGGCTTGAGGCGGGCTCCCGGGCGGTCCCGTGGCTCGCGGCTCGAGGCCGGCTGCCTCGGAGGTCCCGTGGCTGGAGGCGGGCTGCCCGGTCGGTCCCGTGGCTCGCGGCTTGAGGCGGGCTGCCCGGACGGTCCCGTGGCCCTGAGCCGGCGTGGCCGGCAGCACGCACCGCGCGCGTCCGGGCGCCGATGGGCGTTATGCAGACTCGGCAGAACTCGGGTAGTGTTTGAGGCTGATGCTTGCGCGCTGGTTTGTGTGGACGGCGTGAGTAAGCCCAGCGGTGACACGGCTGATGTCCGGGCCGGGGTCGCGCTGGTCTGTGTGGACGGACTGAGTAAGCCCAGCGGTGACACGGCTGATGTCCGGGCCGGGGTCGCGCTGGTCTGTATGGACCGAGTGAGTAAGCCCAGCGGTGACCCGGCTGATGTCCGAGCCGGGGTCGCGCTGGTCTGTGTGGACGGAGTGAGTAAGCCCAGCGGTGACCCGGCTGATGTCCGGGCCAGGGTCGCGCTGGTCTGTGTGGACCGAGTGAGTAAGCCCAGCGGTGACACGGCTGATATCTGGGCCGGGGTCGCGAGGGTTGTCACGGAAAAAAGATGAGAGAACGTTCCGGTACAAAAGAGAGGCTGCAATGACAGAAATGCGACGGGCGGCGAGTACAATCGTGGTACGGCCAATCGTGGCGAGTACAGTCGTGGTACGGCCAATCGTGGCGAGTACAGTCGTGGTACGGCCCTGCGCGAGATGTCTGGGCTGTACTGAGAACACCAAGGAGTTTCTGACCGCTTGAAAAATGGAAGCGATTGTCGAGGAGCCGACAGTTCGTGTTTGAGTTAGATTTGAGACTGTTTATCTCAAAGCAAAAAAAAAGCAGCACAAAGTCATCGACGATGTAATCCAACTGCCCAATAAATACACTAATACTGATGGATTGGCCCAATTCGTGGCAGACCACCGAAAACTCTTCAAACCAGTTAGCATTTTATCAATGGTCAATTGGTGCATAACGACATCGTGGCGATGGGTTACGGTAAATCATTAAATGTACGATATCCACCCCAAATTAGTTGTTCTCACACGTTAAAGTGACAAATATGCGATAGCCAAATAGGGTAAATTAGTATTTCTCCCACCTTAGCATCATTGTCGTTATGGCAAAGCATTCGGTGAAGACTGCATTCATCACATTGGCTACGGACGTTGCCCCTTGCTTGTGAGCGAGACCTTGCTGGAATGAAAAAAGAAAACGGCAAAGTGGCCAAACGACCGCAACTTAAGTCTTCCATTTACAGCCCAAACTCCGTGCTGCCGCAAGGTAACCTTTCTTCGTTCCCATGGATTGCATCGCCTCTGTGGCGGTAACCTTCCCTTCAAATGGCAAGTGGTTTCGTTGTCTGATAAACTCGCGTAAATATTTCGTGCGACCTTGATAGAAACGGCCAGGCAGTCTTGAGGTGCTGGCGGTAGCGCCTGGCTCAAAGCCTCGATATATCGTGTTTGTGTAATGACATGCCTTGCCACATGAACATGAGCCGGTGAACAGCAAGATCCCGAGATCGTTGCGATAGAAGCTGCTTTCATCATCTTGATTGCGTGCACGAATACTGATCACCAACGGATAATCATTTTCACGTTGCCGTTATCTAGGAAATGACGGCTTACAAATGAGGTTTGCGGGGGGAATGGGTTCATCTTATCGGTTTTCTGCTTCATGGCATCATCGCATATTGGAGGAGTGCCATTAATGTCTTTAAGATGGGTGTTAAGGGCGCGGAGACTATTCCTGTTTAAGATTAATATTTCTTGTCATACCAGCATATATTCTCGCAAGATTAAGACAACATAGTGCAGTCAGAGGCAATACTTCGGGGCGGTGGCCTACCCAAACCAGAAATGCACTGTGATGTAATTTCCAGTTACAGTTTTACATAATAAGGGAATTCTCAGCCGCACATTGGCCCGATTATGGTTTGTAAAAGTTATCTGACCGCTGATCTGGCAGGTCATTTGTGATGAGGTCACAAGAAATGTCGCTCAATTACTTCCTTGGTCAGAACGGTCATCTGGTTATAGTATGTGAGGGTCTCAAATATAAGCTGAGCCCGCTTCATGACCTCAGGCAAATGGTTTAGAATTAGCTAGCAACAGACTGAAACAAAACACAACTCCGTTCATCTATAATCACTCTACTGGATTGGTGGGGCCTGGATCTTCGTGAAGGACTCTGTTGATCAAGGAGTCGGGTCTGACAGTTGCCTTTACCTAAACAAACCTCACATTGCCCTTTGATATGCGCCCGCTTCAGATGATGACTAGCATGGACATGACGTCTCTGCCACTCTGCAGTGCTGTGCTGAAGCACAACAGGTCGCGTCGGCTCGGGTGGCCTCAACCCACGTCGTTTGTGAGCAAAGCGCGCGTCAGAACCTGTGCCGGTTTGGTGTCCGGGTCTCAGTGTGCGTCATATCCTACCCTGTGCCGGTCTGGTGTCCGGGTCTGAGTGGTCATCAGACTCTACCCTGTTCCGGTCTGGTGTCCGGGTCTGACCCTAACCTGTCCCGGTTGGGTGTCCGAGTCTGAGTGGCCATCAGACCCTGACCCGGCCAAGTATCTGGGTCTGAGTATTTGCTGCCATCCAACGACATCTAGTTCACCCGCACTTGTTGCGCTGGTTTGGAGCAGCTTGTCCATGTGAAAGGAGTGCCACGTCTGAGGAGCATTTGACAGCCGCCATCTCTTCAGAAGCCCAGAGATAAGCGGCGCTCTTGCCGGTCGGCCTTCGTTCAGAGGCTCAGCTGGCGGGCAGCACGCCGGACACCGGACAGGGCCAGACTCGCGGCATCAACTGGCATCACGCCGGTATTGCTGCTGGCTGCTGTGAGTGCGGTCTTGCTCAGTCGCGTTCTTCGCTAAGTTACACACAAAGGAGAGTGTTTGATGCAAAACACCGGTAAATATGGGAAACGTATGCGGCACAAAATTGCAAAAATTTGGCGGATAGGATGTTTCGGTCACACGGTTTGTGTGAGGTACTGAAGCTGATGTTTTGTTTGGGAGAGGAACAGGGATAGTCGCTTACCTCTACGGCTCTCTGGAAGCTCGTGCCGCCATCCTCGGCCGGATCGGCATAGAATATGTCAAACTTGTCCGCCATGAGGTCTTCATTCTTCTCTAAATTCAAGTCATATCGCTCCCCGAAAGCATCTAATGATACCTGAAACACACGCACGCTGTGATTAAAGCTGACCTCTCTTGATTTTCAGGCTGGTTGCACGCATTAGGGCTGGTGGCAAGTACCGAGCACAGTGATTCGTGGTCGTCCACTCCGTTTTAAACGAAAACGGGTACAAGCAATTTAATGCGAGCTGCTCATTTCCTTGAGACAGTAGACGAGGTGGTGCAGCAAAATTCGTCGAACACGCTTATGGTGACAATTGCACAGAGCATGAGGAGGCACAGATCAATGGCAAATCCCCACTCACCTGTTTCTTAATGCCCCCCGCTGCATTGCGCCGCGTTCTCGCCCTTATGTTTACTAGTTGATACTCAGGTACTGAAAGACAAGAAGGCTGTGTTATTTGTGGCTGTCTTTAAAACCTTCCATGGGTGTAATGTCGCAGTATGAGGCTACAGCGGCGCAGAGGGCACAGCTCGACAGATCACAGTCGGGTTGCAGGCAGTCCCAGGTCAGTCCCAGCCATTAGGATGAGCAGCGTCGTCAGATAAAACATTGGCTCGTCAAACACTGCTGGTTGTCAACAGCAATAGCGTCAGCGTACAGGGGAGCTACCGTATTTTGTCGGCGGGTTCTGAAGTCTTTTTTTGCATAAGGTGGTTTGGTGAATCAGGAACGGGTTTGAGCTGGTATATCGCGTTAAAAGGGAGCTCAAAACTTGAATCAACACCCGACTTCAGGTAGGTTAGTCGCAATAGTGCTGAAGGGTACACGGTTTACCCGCGCTCGGATTAGCCATTCTATGGGGCAGAAGAATGCAGATGAATGAATTAAAGATAGACAGTCTAAACTATTTCAGCTTTGGAAACAGAAAGACACTGTAAAAAACGACTGTATTTAGGCTGCTACAATAGCGGTGTCTGAACTTAAAAAACAGATCACAACAGCTTTGCCTTATGGGCCTATGGATTTGGCTCGCGGGTTCTCTATAACCATGTGATTAACCAAATCGCAAATGTGAATATATTTACGACTATGGACTTGCGGCAAGTCACTTGGCTTTAATTGTCAGTTATGGCCTCTTTCTATTAACAGTGGTAATTCCGAAAACAACAATGACGGCTGTGCGAGCATAAAGTGTAATTACAAGTGTACAACTCTCCTCAAAAACAGGCATGCAAACATTTGAGTAGTGTCCAAGAGGCCCAATAGCCTGCGTTCTTCTATTTTGCTGTGACGGCTTGCGTCTTCCACAATGATCTTGCATGCGCATATCTATCGTACGCGTGTGCCACTGATATTCGTGGTGTTGTCGCTAATAGCGGTGTTGTGAACGTTATGCAATGACATAAGTAGCAATATCGTGACAGACCAGCATGCACGAGCGCACTGCTTTGCAAAATCTTGACAACAACAAGATACGACCCCAAGTTTACGTCTAATAAACGCTTTGTACCGTTATGCGCGGGTCTCCCAGTGTATTTTCTGTCCCGTGCCGTGTCATGCCACGTTGCTGCGCTCTATGCATGCCGGAAGGGCTGTCACGCATGCCACGGTGGGCCTATGAACGCATGGCATTCTTCCGCCTGCTTCGTCAACACAGCTGACTAGTGTACGGCGAAACAGCCGGGCAGTGCCGACACCGGAAACAGCGCATGAAAACAGCCGGCTGCGTGACCGCCGGACTCGCCGCGCGGCCACCAATTAAATGTGGGTGTGGTGGTTTTTACACGCACCGCACGTGCCAAAAGCGGGGCGGGGTGGCCTTCGTTCAGGGCTGAGAACGTTTGACCGGAGTGACGCGAGTAGCTCAGATTGTTGGACACCGAGCGGAACAGATGGGCCGCGATCGCCGGCGCGCCCAGCCCGATACGCAAATACCGCGCCGCCGGCAGCTGTGTTGTGATAACCTTCCCGGAGCGGGCCTGGGCCTGCGTCGTTTCGCCGCGGCGCCACGACTCCCTTTGTGTGCCGATCAGCCGAGCCCCGTGTGCCAACACACTGGCAGTGTGGCGGCGTGTGTGACGTCACGACCGCACCAGGCGACGGGCGCGGCGGCCGGGTCAGAACGACGCGACGACACAGCCATGGTGTAGGGGCCACACAACCGTCTGCGTGATGTTCGAGAAAGCCTTGTACTTGAAGAGGAAAGCCTGCAATGGGCTGCTGTGATCGGTTAGAGCCGCCGCCGCGTGCCCGTGACAGGGAAGCGAGGCTAAACGCGGCTCGTGCACAATGCGGACATCTCTCGCATGAGCTCCGCTCGGACCACAGGGAGTGACTTGAAGGTGAGCAAGTGGCGGAATACCAGACCGGTCGGCAGCAGGCGCGGACTTCAGCACGAACCAACACGGAAGATGACATCAGGGAGAAAAGCGTAGACGCGGAGTTTCTCTGCACGAGTTTCATGACGAGTCATCTACAGATGACATGGTGACGGAAGTGCTCTATGAGCTCGGTTTACAGCGCATTCCGCAGGCTCATCTTTACTTGCAATAACGGATTGATTTGTTGTCAATTTTCAAGCATCGCATTTTCAACCATGCTGCAATGCTCCACTCTTTTTAAACGTGGCATATTGGAGTAAACATTCAGCCTGTGTAATGCGAATAATGCATGGCGCATGGCTCTATACCCGATAGTAGTTTAGCATGTGAGCTCTGGTAGTGATCGTTGGTCCAGGTGTGAACGGACTGGCGCCCGGCCGTGCCGCCAGTGAACACGCTGCCAGCGCACTCCATGGCAGTCAGGCCTCGTAGCACCGGCTGCTCCGGCCGCCAGCGAACACGCTCCCAGCGCACTCCGCGGCAGTCAGGCCTCGTGGCACCGGCTGCTCCGGCCGCCAGTGAACACGCTCCCAGCGCTACTCCGTGGCAGTCAGGCCTCGTGGCACCGGCTGCTCCGGCCGCCAGCGAACACGCTCCCAGCGCACTTCGTGGCAGTCAGGCCTCGTAGCACCGGCTGCTCCGGCCGCCAGTGAACACGCTCCCAGCGCACTCCGTGGCAGTCAGGCCTCGTGGCACCTGCTGCTCCGGCCGCCAGTGAGCACGCTCCCAACGCACTCCGTGGCAGTCAGGCCTCGTGGCACCTGCTGCTCCGGCCGCCAGTGAACACGCTCCCAGCGCACTTCGTGGCAGTCAGGCCTCGTGGCAACGGCTGCTCCGGCCGCCAGTGAACACGCTCCCAGCGCACTCCGTGGCAGTCAGGCCTCGTGGCACCTGCTGCTCCGGCCGCCAGTGAACACGCTCCCAGCGCACTCCGTGGCAGTCAGGCCTCGCGGCACCGGCTGCTCCGGCCGCTAGCATTGTTCCCAGTGAGTTTCACTTTCGATAGGCCGGGCCGCGACAATAGCAGGACAAACGCGCCGGGTGACGCGCGGAAGACACAACAGAAGTCGGACGCATTCGAGCAATGATTCGGTGCGTCCGGCGCAGAGAAAGCCAGCGCCGTGGCTTATTTAGATTCGGCAGCGTGACAAAAGAGCTCTTCAAATGAAGTGTTGGAGTGTGCCTGGAACAATTGACATCACGCCGAACAGTGCGTCAAGCACAGCTCACACCGATCCAAAGGCGGATTTCTTCAGACGTGTCCTTCTGAATGAGCCCACCTACTAGCATGCAGCCGCGAAACAAAGCTATCACTCGGTCCGGTGAGAGACACGGCTCGAGGGGCGCCCGACACTGTCATATCAGTCAGGGAGAGATCTCCCTGGCAAATTAGCGTCTGTGTGGCCGTGAACCTCTGACCCTCCGCCCCGGCCGCTGTGGGAGCCGTCTCCAGACGGCATGCCTTCGCCACTGAAGGCTGCTGCTGAGCGTGAGCGCCTGGCGCCCGCCCAGAGACAATGCTGATGCTCGTCCTGATGCAAAGGTGCTCTGGCAGTTCAGTGCAGCTTGTTTGTATTTAAGCACGCCCAGCCTTTGGTGTATACTATGTTAGGTTCTGTCAGACAAGAACGCAGAGCAGGACGAAAAAAGATAATGCTAGATCGGGGCAAGTCGGTACGTTAGCATATATTCCCTCTTTACAACCGTGTTCAGTGACAAGAGGTTTTTTATTGTCATCGTGTATGTATATGTTGTGTGCTTGGTCCGAGAGTAACTCCACATTTTGCGAAGAAGAGAATGACATATTGATGCTGCGAGGCAAAATCGCATTGGATATCCGGAATAGAGAAATACAAAACACTGCAAATGGTGTGAATAAAGCCTGTCAATGACAGGCCCCACCACGCCCAGTAAGGTAGACCTGCAGTCTCGGGCAGTGACACCATCTGACAAGACAAGCTACAAAAACACGACCACACAATCTCTTGGACCAGTTCAGCGTAGCTTACCTGCGCTATGTGAGTCGGCGTCAAAGACGGAGCGTACTTCACTGCCAGAAAGTGCCAGGTGAATCTGGAACGAAACAAAGGTCGCAATTAGCATTGTTGTTTGAAGAACACGCCATTCAGCCTGGATGTAAGTCAGGACTCACTGTTGTGACTTCTCAGTAATGATTCCATGGCACTGGCGTGGTTGCCTCTGTACCAAACACATGCTTTGATGTTATGAAATTGGAGGGGACATGTTATGAGATTAGTTCATGCAACTGCTTCCGACTGTTTTTTTTTATATGTTAGGTAGTGTTTCATAACAAAACATCGTGAGACAGGGCTGCAAAGCCAAACAAGATAAGCGAATATGAACGCGGTTCCTTTTTGAAATATACTCCGTGAATGAGGACGTTCACGGTGTGAGCACAGATATTACCAGCGCTGTATGTTACACACCATTAGCTGAACGCAGCTGGGTATTATGGCAGGCAATAATAAACATGTAAACTCCGCTACGTCTGGTCAGATAAGAGGCTCGTTCACGGACACCAAGTTAACACAACTGAGAGAACTGTCCTTACCCAACGCGGAAGGCTTTCAAGCAATGGTTACGGAACTGATACACATATGCTCTCACGACCCATTAAGGAAATACGTCGCTTGCACTTCGAAACAAGGTCGTGAGACCTTCCGAAATAATGTGGCCTTTGACAGATTTCCGCCAACACAGCGAACAGCCTTCACTTCCACGTTAGCTACAGATCAGACACTGTGGTCTTTGTTTCTCACCAAGCCACGGCGGTTTCCAACCCACAGACAAAGACCAGACTGCAAGACTAGCAAGACTAAGGTAGGAACCACTTAACTCTTACGTCACTCTGGGTCTTGTGCCAAACTCCCGCGTCACTGTGGGTGTTGCGTTTAACTCCCACACCACCGTGGCTCTTGCGCTTGCTGTCTCCGTCGCCCACGCATTGGCAAACGTTGGCAACTCAGCTCGACGTAGCCAGACAAAGCCAGCCAAGTATTCGCAACGCTGATGCGAATCCAGCGACAGTGACGGCGACTGCGCTCGTCGCTGACGTGAGGAGGATCGTCGCTCGGCGTGACAACGACCGAGCTCGTCCCTGACGTGAGGAGGATCGTCGCTCGGCGTGACAACGACCGAGCTCGTCCCTGACGTGAGGAGGATCGTCGCTCGGCGTGACGGCGACCGAGCTCGTCGCTGACGTGAGGAGGATCGTCGCTCGGCGTGACAACGACCGAGCTCGTCCCTGACGTGAGGAGGATCGTCGCTCGGCGTGACGGCGACCGAGCTCGTCCCTGACGTGAGGAGGATCGTCGCTCGGCGTGACGACGCCCACGCTCGTCCCTGACGTGAGGAGGATCGTCGCTCGGCGTGACAACGACCGAGCTCGTCCCTGACGTGAGGAGGATCGTCGCTCGGCGTGACGGCGACCGAGCTCGTCCCTGACGTGAGGAGGATCGTAGCTCGGCGTGACGGCGACCGAGCTCGTCCCTGACGTGAGGAGGATCGTAGCTCGGCGTGACGGCGACCGAGCTCGTCCCTGACGTGAGGAGGATCGTAGCTCGGCGTGACGGCGACCGAGCTCGTCCCTGACGTGAGGGGGATCGTCGCTCGGCGTGGCGGCGACCACGCTCGTCCCTGACGTGAGGAGGATCGTCGCTCGGCGTGACGGCGACCGAGCTCGTCCCTGACGTGAGGGGGATCGTCGCTCGGCGTGGCGGCGACCACGCTCGTCCCTGACGTGAGGAGGATCGTCGCTCGGCGTGACGGCGACCGAGCTCGTCCCTGACGTGAGGAGGATCGTAGCTCGGCGTGACGACGCCCACGCTCGTCCCTGACGTGAGGAGGATCGTCGCTCGGCGTGACGGCGACCGAGCTCGTCCCTGACGTGAGGAGGATCGTCGCTCGGCGTGACGGCGACCGAGCTCGTCCCTGACGTGAGGAGGATCGTAGCTCGGCACGACAGCGGAGGAACTTGTGCGGGAGCTGCGCGCGAGTGAGGACAAGGCCCGTTCGCCGGCACCCCAGGCCTTGGAGCGGTTTCCGCCCGCCGCCAGCTTTTGCATAAAGCTGAATGAATAACAGGTGATTTCCATCACTTCGGCATAAAAACGGTGATCCCAGCTCAATGCCCGGACCGGGAAGAAGGCAGCGGATAATAAATGCGCTGGGTGTAGGATGGAACCGGAAAACAAGCGTGGACTTCTGCTGCTTCCTCTGCAAGAAACCTTAAATATGTTTGCTGCATTTTGAGACGCACCGCGCAGGGACCTCTAAGCTGTTTTCCTTGGAATAAGCTTATCTGTAGGATTGATGCATCCTGTGTGGACATGTCAGGGTAGGTGGAAGCAGCCAAGTGCGGAGCATCAGCTGACGCTAGACATCGCGGGTGAGACGGGGCTCTGACACCGGTCCAAAGCTGCGACCCTGATGGTATAAAGGCCTTTAATATATCTATTTCCATGCATCCTTTAAATGTGGGGAGTTGTCCCCAGTCTCCTTTCATTCGATTGGAGAGTTCATGATAATAGATATTAACTCAAGCGACTGTGTAGGTTTTTATTATGCTACCCTATTGCATTATCCAAGACTAGAAAGGCCACGTAAAAGCGGCCGTGGTTTACAGCAAAAACTCGTGTGCCAGGTCCGCAGCATGGCTTGTCATGGGACACAGGGGTCGATTACTTGGTGCTCCTTCGGTACATCGAAAACTCAACCAGCCGGGCGTCGTGAGCTTCATCGTTCAAAAAGCCGGAGAGGGGGCTTGGAAGGTACTGTGGCTCTAAGCTGCAATATCGAATCAAACCTGAGTTGAATACTGCTTGTGGTGCGCCGTCATACTTCTGTGAAATAGCCGCGACTATGCGTTAGACGGCAGACAATGCGTTTAACCCACGTTGTCGCTCATCCACTTATGGAGCGTCAGCAACTGCAGAGATTGTATTGGTGCCCAGAGGCCATGTCCGGGACTCGAACCCAGGTCCGGGAGCCGAGGATGCTAACCAGTGGGCCATTACGCCCCGACTTAGAACATTATGCTACTAATAACTAGAATGCGATGAAATGACTCAGTTGGGTAGCATCAACTACGCAGATTGAGCCCAGCTTTAGCACCTTCTTAACATGTTACAGGAAGTTATGCACGAATGTTCAAGCTTCATGCAGTCTGTAAGCGACACCCTCTTCCAGGCGCGAATTGTACGCGTAAGGGCAACACTTATAATCAAATCTCCTTAAAGCTTTCTGCAGGCATAAGGATTTGCACGCAATTCCTCACGACGTTTTAAGATTCCCTTAAACATTTTCCGCACAAAGCTTTTGTGGAAATGCCCTTCTGCCAGAACCATTGAATGCCCGCCATTTTGTCCGAGAGCTGTTAGAGGGATGCACTCATTAGAGTTATCTATTGGCTCCAGTACATACAGCACATCTGTGAGCGTTCGTTGGTGACTTCTGGCCCCGTTTACACGTCGCTGCTAGGTGGTAGGTATATCGACCTTCATCTGATGCTTACTCGACATTCTGTAGAGGCATTTGGTTCCTATGGAGTAAATATTGGAAAGCAATCAAATACCTACTTCAAGGGCTACAATAAAACACGTAAACAAAGAAGCAAGCGAGCCGGGCTTCAGATATGTGGCTCATGTTTCCAGTGTCGGACCGCAATCTTCAGTGACAAAGTTCACACGAAATTTCCCACGCAATGTGTTAAAATCGTCTACCAGCTTCTGTCGCGGTTTACCAAGGTCGTCAGCGGGAGAAATCATGGCGTTCATGAGCGGAGCCGTGGTTTTTATCTGCGCCAACGACACTCAACCGGAGATAGCTGCCAACCAACAGGCGCGAATGTCGTGCCTTCCGACACGGCGATAATACCTGCAGCGGTGTCAGCATTGCGCACCCGGTCCTCGACATTACGTAGCACAGTGCACGGTACGTCAGGTGATCTCGGCTCGATGACGGACTCATTAGTGGGGTCAGGCGGCAGCACTAACGCATGCCGTTCGGCGAGGCATGCACCGGTGATCCACGCCACTCTCGCTCGCTCCGCGGCGGAGCGGAACGGCGGCCAGTCGGCCAGCAGCGAGCGCAGAGGCGGCCGGCCGACCAGCAGCGGGCCCAGGGGCGTCCGGCCGGCTAGCGGCGGGCCCAATGGCAGCCGGCCAGCCAGCGGCGGGCCCAAAGGCAGCTGGACGGCCTGCAGCGAGCTCATAGGCGGCCCGTGGCGAACCCAAATCGAGTGACGTTCGAACAAGCATAGGCGACCGCTGAGAACCGATATCGTTCAAAAAGCGGGGCATCAGTGATAACCCGGAATGAAACGGTCTGGGATCGTGTGGTGGGTCAGAGGGACTTCGGATTTGTTGCCACACACGCGGTCCACCGCCAGCCCGCATTAAAAAGATATGCACCATCAAACAGGAGAAAGCACGGCCCCACGCAGGGAAATGATGCGGACTCGCTCCCGGGATGCCCACAGCTAACCGGCGTTCCCGCTCCCTGACGGCAGCCGCTGAGCAGTGGACGCCAGATGTTTCTCAACGCCAGCGTCGAGCGCCGCGAGCAAACCTTGCACCATCCGCGGGGCAGCCTGACCTGGAGGTCCTCGACGCCAGGCCCGGCTTTGGCAGGGGTGCTCCGCCGTGTCTCCAGGCGCCGGCCGCTGCTCTCGCAACGGACGCCAGCCGGGATTGCACTGCCCGACTGGCAGTGTGCCGAGAGAGCGGCTGACCGGGCCCGCAGGCGCACCGGACCTCACATCACTGTCCGACTCGGACCGGTGCTAGGTGTCGACCACGAGATATACTGCCCTTCAGAAGGCATTGCTAAACATTTCGGTGTCGGCCGCCGCCCTCATTTAACAGTCGTTGCACCACCGTCGAGTGTACAGCAGTGGTTTCGTTGACGGCAAGGGACCTGCCGTCTAAAACTCATGTGAGAGTTTGTTTTTGGAGCTTGTACATTATCGTTGCTGGGCTGCATGATTACCCCTTGTGATAACACTTGCCTCTAAAAATTCATTTGTTTAGTGATCCATGCAAATAAACAAAGTGAATGTCAGTAGATGGACATCTGAGGCCGAGCTCCTCCCTCAAAATATGTGTTACATCCGCATCTGCAGCTTTCGGCGTATTCGGTGTCATTTCGGAACCCGCCTAAGCAAATGCTTGGCACTTGCCTGGTTTCTAGGAAGCGCGTAGCAAGCCACTAGCAGAGCAGAGAATGACAGCACGGTAGGAAGCATTCTGAAGCCGCAGAAGTTCTGTCTGGGACCGGCCCTTTACTGAAAACGAGAACGACACGATTATGACACAGCGAAAACCGGCGACACTCAGTTCCGTGTAGGCTCTGCACACGGACGCGTCAATCAAGCCACGAGAATAGAGAGGTGCCTGTACAATCTCAACGTCGCGCAGCCCGCACCGAGCCCAGCGACCCTAGCATGCAGACACATAGCTTTAAAGGGCGGCGGCGGTGTACCATATGATAAATGCGATGAGCAATGATGGCGGGAAGAATGCCTTTTGTATGCAATGGGGTATCTAGACGAACCCATAGGGGCAAGTGGTTGCCTGACAACCAGCTGGGAAGAACAGCGCCGGTAACAAACGGCACTGACGCCACAAAAAGTGTGGTGAGCGGCAAACACTTTCATAGTTGTAATCGCATTCATGCCGTTTTTGTGTAGCTTGTCAAAGTCTCTCTTGAGCTGTCGTAGAGATGTTGCGACATGCCCTAATGTTCCAGTCCTCTCCTGTTTCTGAACCTGCTCTGACCACTCGGAGTGCGACAACGGCCGAAAAACTGTGAGCGCCGTGGCATCAGAGGAAATTACCGGTCCGGCCCGGACACGCTCGAGTTGCCGTTCAGCACAGCAGGTGAGTCTTCGGTTCTATTTTGGAGGCGGCGTGACCCAGTGCAGCCAGCCACAAGCGGCAACACTTGGAGGCCTGCCAAATTGACGCCTCACCAATTGCCTCCGACTTGTTTTACTGCAGACAGCTGACGAACGAAACCAGCAAAGCTAATCGCCGCTTATGACAACATGATAAAAGCGGCGAAGTTTTGCAGTTTTGGTTTATTGAAGTTCTGGGTATGCGCCCGTATCAGTGGACATAGCTCGCGGACGAATAGTGAGCCGCTAGCAAATGGGTTAACTTTTCAAGAATTATCAGTCCAAGCTCTAGCCCTGACTCACGACAACCTCAAAAGAGGAGAGGATGACGCGTGAACACGTGTCATCTCCCGCTTATACACATATCGCCTTTGCCCTTGAAGGAGGCTGCGCGTGGTGCGGGTTGATTTGGCAAGCTGCACTCCACTCGAAAGAGTAGGCCTCCATTGCCGCTCTAGCGCTCAGCAGCACCAGCTGCTGCCGCCTCTGAGTGCCTTCCGACCCGCGCTGCAGCCCTGGCCGGTGGGAGCACAGCGTGGGCGGCACCGTAGCACGAAGGGAGCGGAAAGGGGGGGGGGGGGGAGGCGGGCCGGCGGCGAATCCGCCGTGCCGCGCCATGTTCGCGGCTGTCAGGGCGAAGGTCACATCTGGCCGCCCCTGTGGCGCCGCCTTGACCGAGATCGCTACCTGAAATTAGGATCAAAGCGGCCGCGCGCCCTGCCCTGGAGACGATCACCGTAGGAGGAAGTGCTCTGCGCGCGCCGGTCAGACGGCACGATCGCCGATCTGCCGGTCCGATCGACCGGTCTGGTCCGGTCGGCTCCCTGGGCTGATACCGCCGATGGTTTGTCCCTCTGAGACCCCCAGCCGCTAGCGAACAGGTTGCTTCTTGATCCGTCTCGTGGCATGGCTTACGATGGCGTCATAATTGTTATACCGGCTGTCTCACAGAACCTTGACGTCGTTCAAACTGTGAAGCCACTCAGGCCAAAAATATCTTTCCAATCTGCGCATTCCGTTTCGCACCGTACAGCGCTCCATAGATCGTTATACCTTTTCACAAGACCGGCCAATGGCCACAGTCATAGCGCTCGCTCCCTCGTCTCGCTCCGCTCCAGCCCTGACGGCGCCAGCCTGTCTGGGAGGCCCTCCTCCGCATGGCGCTCGCTCCCTCGTCTCGCTCGACTCCAGCCCTGACGGCGCCAGCCTGTCTGGGAGGCCCTCCTCCGCCCGCCCGGAAGTAGCGGCCGACAATGAATGAGGTGGGCTGGGCCGGTAACGAGGCGCGCCAGACGGACGCCCCCTCCCTCCTGCCCAATGGCGGGCCACGGCCGGTCCGCTTGGTAACACGGGGTCAGGTCGTGCTGCGGCGCGAGGTAATGGCGGGAAATGGTGGCATCGGTGTCCCAGCTGTCAGGGGAAAATGCTTCTTAAAAAGGCGGGGCGCAGTGTGAGAGGAAAATGGTTTATTGGGCCTGCCGATGTATGAGAGGTTTTCTGCTCATTGTCTTAGAAAGATGTCTGTTCTTAAAGCGTTTTAAGTGCCGGAGGGGATTCCCCTATGGCAGTACGAGCGTTCCAGGGTAATATGATTTAGCCAAGCCACAGGTCTGAGCCAGGAAAAATAACGGTGCAGGCAGCACTACTAGTATGTGCTGATTGGAAGGTGATATCACTATGCGCACTGTCATGCACCACATTCAACGAATCGAATGTACTATATAATGTCGATATGTGCTATGAAATAAGATGCCTGATTTCGTAGCCAAAGAGGGCAGTGATTTATTGACGGGGTGTTCAGACGCGAGCGAGATGCTGAGAGTTAAATTCAGTTATTCCATTTGTGACTTCTGAATGCAGTCGCTGCGTAAAGCGAACCTGAGCGTATCACCCGCCTGTACATTTGGCTCACAGTGCGTGATAAGAGCGGTTCCATTAATAAACATTCGGGGCTTCGGAGAAAATCGCCATGCGATTCGGTCCCCAGATGGAAATTTCTGTAAAGTACTTCAAAAACATTGGAATAAAATGATCTTCAAGCATTTTCATTCCGTGCCTTAATGGTGACTGTTGTGGAATGAGCTGGATCCAGCAACCAAGTCTAGGACGGGTCCGCGTCCTCTTAATACGATGAGTGTGGGTTAACAAATGACGCTTCTCATGAAACGTTGTGTCGTAATTCATAACATACTAAACAAGTCGCAGAAATATTTGTATCAATGTACCGAGGTACCAGCCTCAGACTCTGTTGGCTTAGGCATGCAGCCCTCAAAGATATGAAATGAGAAATTTCCTTGCATGTACAAATTAAGTTTCTCGTAGCAAATCTCGCGAATGCGGTTATGCATGCCACCAAAGCCAAGGAGGATGTCACTCGACGGAAACCGACGACAAGAGCTGATGCTCCAGCCAGCCGGGCAAAATTTCGTCAGAGATGATTGGGTCAAATGCAATGGACTTCGGACCACCTCAGAGGGCGCTAGGGTCGATTTCAGGTAGCCCGTGCAACCATGCCATAGTGGGTTGTGCAGCCGGTGGCAGCGTTTCAATCATTGTTTAGGGAGGCTAATGTTCTGAACCTCAATCTGCACCTACGTTATCACTTCTCGGCCCAGCTGCTGTTTTCAACGTGCGTGGCCTGGAGTGGAACTTGCAATGGACATCATTCACGCACGCAGCATCTGCTAAACAGCAAGCGCCTGAACAATAATCACACGGAGTACTGCTTCTGTCTGTGCAGCGCAGGGAAGTGTTCATTCAGAGTGCTGCAACAACCCAAAGCACTTCTGGTGACAGCGCATCATTGAATGCGCTATCACCAAAGATCAAAAGTCGTTATTCCGCAAGCAACTTCGGTAGTCAATGCCACTAGATAATTTGAAAACGCTTTAAATCCCAAGAAGCACTGTGATATTTCACTGTTTGCACAGTAGGAAACTGCTTGAGATGTAACAGTCTGAACCATCAGAACAGTTTCATACACTGATGCATTACGTCATGAGCATTACACTGATGGTTTTTTTCCTGAGAGGAATTACCCGCAATGCAACTCCATTACCTTAAATAGGTTACCCAACATTTTAGTCGCCGTTTTACACAATTGCAATTAGATGAAAAGCCCTGACATATCCGACCCGACTTTCGCCGTTCCTCACCCCGTCCCCCCTCCCCCCCCCCCCCCCGCCATTCATCCGCGCCTACCGGTGGTTGGATGACGTGTTTCCGGCGTGTTTCACCGATGGCCGGCCCCTGCTCCGGTCACGGCCATCGCCCGGGGCTCTGCCATCCGCCGGCGGGGGTCGACCACACCTCGGCCGTGACCAGCAGCCGGCCCCCGTCCGGCCCTCGTCCGAGCACCGGACGTCGGAGCTGCACCTGCGCCAGCCTGACAGGCGTAATTACTGTCTGACAGCGACGGTGGGACGCCTGCCGACGGCTGGACACACCCAGCGAGTACCGGGCGCCGGAGCTGCGCCTGCGCCAGCCTGACAGGCGTAATTAATGCCTGACAGCGACGGCGGGATGCCTGCCGACGGCTGGAAACACCCAGTGCCGGGCGCGGCTGGTTGGACCTGGTGTATGGAGGAAGGGGAACACGAATACCAGTGTGGGGGTCACGTGTCAACCGTGGAATAGTTTACGCTGCACCGGAATAGATCGCCTTCTGTTCAAGTGGCAATTAGTTTGGATATGTGGAAGGGTTGGTTCGCGCATGCCATCAGTAAAGCAATTAGAGTTGGCTGTGATATTGTAGTGTAGTTATTGCAGAAAAACGCTTGCATGTTGGATCTTAAGCCCATGACATCGGAAATATTCATTTCGGTGGAAATATGCACCGACCAGAAATAAACTTTGGGCTTTTGCAAACCCAGTTTTTACTTACAGAAGTCGTGAGCTTAGGTAGTGTTATTTGCCTGTATTGAAATGTGATATTTCCGTCAATTTGTCAACATGACACTATTTACAGGGACATAAATGCAAAGTTCTGCCTTACTTAAAGCTCCTGAGTATCTAAGATTTGGTTTAATCGTTAATCCTGATCTGTTATCAGCAGGTACTTTGTCAGTCAACTGGCTGTTGAATTCCATGGAACACCTGTAATGTAAATATCCATCGAGAGGTGAGGTCTGATGATTATTCCAAATGGAAGAACGATGCATTAAACGAGGCGACCCGATGGTGGGGTCGTGTTTCCGAGGGTGGGACGAGTCGCGACCCCCCAGACGCTTGTTTGTTAGGGATGAGCGTCCACACCTGACACAGCGCCTGTGTAATTAGGTGGGCTCGTCGGAAATAATCGGCACATTAGGCTCATGCTCTCCAGCGGCTCTATTTTTGCCTGACTGCCGCGTGTGTATTGCTGGTCTATGATACAATTCGGTCTTCCC